AGCCACGGTCAATCCAATGCTGGACGGTCCTGTGATGTAACCATCCCAGCCAGCGCTTACACCAGATTATTTATCCGCTCCACCTCCTGGGCATACGTCCTCATGGACACGTTCCATTCCTTCGCTGCCGTTATCCTCATTATTCGCAGGGGACCATTGGCCATCGTCCCTTCTCGCGATGTGTCCTTAACAGTTTGGGTGATGTAATTAACCATCACATGTTCTCTAATCTGTGTGTTCCTACTTCTGTCTCTCTATGCCCTTCTAAGCGAGGATCAGTTTTTATTATCCTGTAGTAATCTTGGTTTTTATAAAGCGCTTTTCATAACGAAATCTCAAAGCAGTGTACACATCCCAGGCATAGTACATTTACCAATTAAAGATCTTTGTGCCCAAGACGCAGCATCTACGGTATTCGTAATCATCCATTGCACGCCATGATATTGTAGAGCGTAGTGAAATGAATCTGCTCCCATGCTATAGGAGGCATTCGCAAAGCATTGTTCATTTCCTTGCCTCTGGGTCGCGTCGAGGATGCACGCTCATCGATACTTGCTCGCTCACAGAAGGCCTTCCGTCATGAAGCCACACTGCTTGCCATGCGGCTTTAACATCTGCTGGGGTATTGTTTCATCGGCTGCATTTGTCACATTTCACCTGTGTGATGATCAAGTAATGTACATAATTGTTGTACCTCTTCAACAAGCAAAGGGAAGCTATAAAGACGTAACTTTCTGCTTTTCCACGACCGTTGGGGAACCAGTTTTCACCGGCCCAGAAACAATCCGGTTACATTCCATGGTTGGCATCATAGCCCAGGTCCGGGCTGCATGAGCCACGAGGCTCCATGGACTCAGCCCCCTTGTGCCCCCCCCCCCCCCAAAAACATCCCTCTCTCTCACTAACATCCACGGCCAGAGAGGAAGTGGTTGTGAAAGAAATCAAGTTTTTACAACGTGTATGTCGGCATCGGTTACGTTAGGCTATGCAAAGGTTTTGTTATTTTACAGCCATGTATATTTGTATGTATGTTGAACTTCTTTCGCACCGTACGTAGCTAACCACGCCAATTGGAGGTGCGGGGGAAGAACAACGTTTTTAACAACAATGCAGCTGAGATGAGCACTTCAATTGTGATCTTATTTTTAAAAGCATCAAATTATAGTGCAGTGCTGCTTAGAAACAACGTGGGAATGTTCGGCGGACAGGCCGGCAGACGTACGGCCTCGCCACGGTGGTACCAGCAACTGGAGCCTCAACAACAAAATATCTCCAGATTGGCATCACGCATTCCTCCACTTGCAAAAACATCGTGGAAAAGCAGCCGGTGCGCGCAGGCCATCGGGCGGCACTGTTAAAAATAAGTCGCCGCCGTTTCATTTTGAACTTTTCATCAATTGGAAACCGGCGCTACAGATTGTAACTTTGTCATTGCGGTTTCTCTGAAGGATGGTGGCCCTTGTTCGGCAGATGAAAGGGTGCCTGGGCAGATGCTATTTCAAATATGTTGTCAATTATTGACAGAATATGTTTATGGCATTGAGGATCATCGCTGGATTGCCCTTCCGTCCTGTTGTTCTTAACTCTACACACCCAGGCCCCTGCGGTGCTGTGTGTGAAGGTGTCCAATTTGACCTCCTGGTTTATTACTGTACATAGCTCCCATTATCTTATCTATATTTATTTTGGGGACCGTATTCCAAGGTGCTTTACTGCAATTATAAAATTGTACACGTAAGGTAGTGATTGAGATAAAGAGCGGGGCCATCCCTGGGCAGGCCTCGCTCACGATCCAGCGACAAAGCAGCCCACCTCGGTGGACGCACTCTCTCGGATGCCGTCCATTCCTTATAGTGAACAATAATTTAACAAACCTACCCAGGGAAGCCACTCCGAGTCCGAAGACTTTTTCAGGAGGGTCCTGCATTGGGATGTTTGATGGCACCCGTGATGCCGTCGCATGCTGTGAGCTAAGGGGTGAATGCGGAGAACCCGGGGGGAACCCATGGCCGCCAGTCCGTTGTCATCATTCCTTCTGGGCATTGAGGGAAAACGGCGTCATCGGCTCAGTCAGCCGCCATCCAACGGTACAGTGTGAAATCGTGGCTATTGCAGGTAATGTTTATCATTCACCTTGAGCCGCATTTTTCCACCTCTGTGTGCCGCGAGGCGGACTTAACGTGAGGCTCGGGAATGATTACACATTTACACGTCTCCTCTATCATATTTACACGTCTCCTCCACCACGATCTGAAACAAATAGCAGCTGCCCCTTGAGTTTGCCGCTTGCAGGGCTCGCCAGGTTATACTGAATGTTGTCGATGGAATTGTGTAAATGAATACTGCAACGCAATTGGTAATTGCATTACTAAAATGCTGAAGGTTTTCAATATACCACGTTACCATTCTATTGCTCGTGGCATAATATTAAGATAAATAATAACAAATGTGTTACAGCCCTTTGTCAACTGCTGGATGAAGGCCTCCCTATGACGTGTTGTTTGACCATACTTCACCACGCTGGTCAATGTGGGTTGGTAGATAGGGGCAGGCTCAGGTCCAGTTCGGATGTCACTCTTAGCCACTGATGTTATCCGTAGTTGTGTATTAAATATGTAGTTCACCAGGTTCATATTGTAGTGTGCTAACTCCTGCCACCACCCCACACCACCTCTCCCTTCCCGTTGTTAACAAGACGTTAAATCTCGGTGTGTCGTCATGCCAACATTGGGCATTGCTCGTGTCCGTCAGTGGATATTCCACATTTTTATATAACCGCAGGTCTGGCTCAAACCTCTGCAGTCCAGTTTCTTTTTAGCCGCTCTAGAATGTCATAATTGGGTTTGCGTGTCGTGCAGCGTAATTTTTAATGACCCAGCCTGTTTTGCCCACGTAGGACGTGATCGGTTGGAATTATGAGAATGAACACTCACACGATGTTTCTGATAGAGGCTGTTTGCGTTTAAATTCCCCGGCTTAATCGCACTGCAGTAACTAAATCCACTTGGTCGCCGTTGACCCATGCTACATGTGACACGGATTTCATCGGGTGCTCGCCATACGTGAACACGCAATTAGCCTTGCAGTCACATGGCTTAATCCTGCACACCAAGGGGCTTTACGATGCAAGCCGGGCGTCGCCTTGACCTGGCGAAATATTGAATGAATGGAAATCTGTGGCCTTCGGCAGATTGTGTGGTTCCTGTTTCCGTATTGGCTTTAAGCAGAGCAACCGTCGGAGGTTCAGCTGTGATTTATCCACACGGTTGCTTTGCCTGGGAGTTGGTGAATTGCAGGACGCGACACCGGCAAATATGCTGAATAGAGGTGGAACGATTCGCCATCATCACTGTCGTAATTTATTATTGATACCGCGCCTCCCTTGCGCCAGATCGGGAGGCGCCAGAACAAAGGGGAGAATTTGAGACGGTTACTTGGTAAGAAAGCAATAGCAGAGCAATGCAATGTTGAAGAACATTGCGGTGGAGACAGTAAACACGACAAACGGGAATAAAGACAAGAGAAAAGCTGAACGCTACTTGAGGCTTCTCTCTTTTTGTCAACGTCACTCGCATTATCAACGTGTTACCTGACACGGTTGTCTAATTTAGTGTTTAATAGCCACCGTTGTACACAGAGAGCCCATTTTCTCATTCCACGGCCGGTTGTGTGGATTATTTGACCAAACTTCCCCACACTGGCCAATGCGGACCGGTGAAGGTGGGGAGCATAGACGATGGCTCTTGTACATTGGCCAGTCGAACTTTGACCCCTGGTGTGTGTGTATGTTGAACTTCTTTCGCACCGCACGTAGCCAACCGCACTAATCGGAGTTGTCGGGGAAGGACAACAAACTAAACACTCAACAACACACGGCGCAATGTGACGATGAGGCTCTGACTTAGGGGTACCGCTTCTGTTCAGAAATGTACGAAACCTCCACTTGGTGTCAATAAGGGGGACGTGCCTTCATTCATAGTGATGATGGAGGCGAGTCCGAGAGCATGTGCTCGTCTACGCGAGCGTGCACAAGCAGACACGTCTCTTGTTACTCTTCTCGCGTGGCCGGTAGACTAACTGCTCCCGTGACGCTCAATCATTGATTCAATGTTGCAGGACTTGGTCTACGAGACTGACTGTCTTGTATCATCTACACTGTTCAACCAGCACACTGGAGGTCACAACAACACAATCGCTCACTCATTAACCCACGCGCTCACCCACCCACTCATCGCACCGCAGATCACCTCACTCTCTGCTTCTCCCCTCGCACTCCTCCACTTTGGATTTCCGTCTCTTTTTCTCCACAAGCTCTTGCCATCTGCTTATTTCAAGACAGTGTTTACACTTAGCACGTGATTTCTCGCAGCTAATATACGATTCATTTCCATGGGACGCTTTTCATCATTACGTTTCATAATTTATTGTTTGGTCAGACCACGTTGAACCAACAATCAATGAAAAATCATGTAAACTATTATCCATTACAACTTTCATACGACTGTTTGCCGCTGGCCTATGCCTCGGCAACCGGAATAAAAAGTGTATATATGGGGGAACGACATTTCGATACACAATGGCTAACATGTACACGTATACTACCAGCATGGGACTTGGACGGGAACGTGTGTGTGTGTGAACATGTGTGTGTGGAGCGGTTTTGTAGCGGTTCGCACGCCACACTACAAATCCGGTGACCCGAGTTTGATTCCCGCTCACGGCCAACATCAGTGACGATTATTTAAACCGGTCCTGGAGCTCCCCTAGGTCTACTCGTCCTCAAATGAAGACCTGGGGCGGTGTGTAAACATCGTCACTGGGGAGACAAAGGCAGCCGGGCGTGGTGTTGGCCACCCACCCGCTCGTGTGCCGTGCCGGCCTTCATAGTTGCTCGCGAACAGCACTTTCCCCAACATTCTGTTACAGGCTATATGGGGGATCTTTGTCTTTGCGTGAACGCGTCAATGCTGATGCGCGGCTGCATGTGGATTGCATTCCAGGTTGCGGCCTGGGTCCTCGGGCTTTCCACTGGCACGGACCGGCTCACCGCGACGGCTGCTCGCTCCAGCCAGACCGCTCTGCTGAAGTGACCCAGCATTCGTCACCTCGTCAACACCTGCTCCACGGGTATCCATTGCAGATCGCCATTGGCCAGCAGGGATGTGAAAATGTTATCCACATGGGCGCTTACACAGGAGCCTAATTAAAATAACAATGCAGGCACATTGTGCCAACCTGCAAGCCCCGACGATGGTTCCATTAGAGATGGCGATAGTTTCTGGATGCCTTCTTCCAGTAGTGGATTGATCACTGGCTGACGATGCTTTTGTTGTCCTTCCCCCGCACCTCCGATTGCACGGTTGGCTACGTACGGTGCGAAAGAAGTTCAACATACGGACATTTACGCTTCTCAGGAGAAACCATTGCCATGAGCTGCACAGCACCTACCCCACAGAGGCCCCCACTCGTCAAGGCTACGTTAATGACCCCGTTTCTTCACTGCAATGTGGGAACCTTTTTGGAGGCAGGGCTCCAGATGTATTAGAAAGTAAGCTGTCAAGAAAAAAAATACTGATGATATTCACCTGATGATATTCACGCAAAAAAATATATCCCGAAGCGCTTTACAAAAAATCCTGTCGTGGCGTTTAAGGTGACAACTGTTAAGCTGCGGTTCGTGATAAAAGATTTTCTCGATTCCATCACCTTTGTAAATTTACAGCTCATTCTCGAGGCACATTAACTATGTATTCGAAAGTTCAATGTTTTGACTTTCGCAATATTCATCAATTTATTATACTTTCAGCGCATAGTATTTCGCATTCGGATTTTTTAAAATTTGAATCTATACGGTCGGGCCGACTGCAAGCTGGGTTATAAAAAATCCAGAGAGCCCATCCTGCGGCAGTGATACACATACACTCATTAAACACAGAGTAGACGCTTACACGTTTCATCCAAATGAAGATCGTCTTCGCTCTGCTCAAAAGCAGCTCCTGATGTGCATTTGTTAGCAATTTAAAACTAGCTCGCTTATGTTATGTTTTTGAGATGTAACTTAAATATACTATATACATATACTATAATCCAGTTATTTATGTGATGATATATTTATTACGCATGAGATAAAATAGCTGATGTTTCACGGCTCTTTGTTAACCCATTGTGGGATGAAGGGCCTGTTTGCCGTGTTGCTCACTGGGGTCTGTTGGCCGTATTTCACGGCCCTGTGAAGGGGGCCGCCCTGGTCCAGTCAAGGTATCGCTCGCCACTGATGTTCGCCGCAGCCTGGAATGAAATGCACGCCGCTGGGTTCATAGCACAGTGTGTGATAACCGCTCCGCCATTAGAAAGAGTGACTTTATTGAAACCGGTCATGATTCTATTCCCATTCAGAGTCTGTTTTTGAAGGGAAGCCTGGTTCCGTGTATTTTGTGCACGTATCCAGTATTACAATCGAGTGCGGTGAATTCCAAAATAACAGAATGCCAGCGTGGGACATGGAACGGGATAACCACCAAGTGTAATCTCACCATGCCGCCGCGATCGTCGCCACGCAACGCGCCGCCACGCCGCACTGGAGAGCGCGCGCTGGGGAGCGGTGGCTGCAGGCAGTCGTGTGTGGGAGGTGGCTGAGGGTGCTGGGGAGACAGAGCAGTAAGTTTGATGCTTGCATCAAGGGTCTTGAACAGAGCAACGGGAAATGTCACGGGTCATGTGCAGGTGGATGGAAGGGGTTTGTGGATTGAGCATTTGGGTCCTCCGAATTTTCAGGGCTTTTTAACAGCTGCAGCAGCAGCAGCAGCTGCAGCAGCAGCTGTTTTCTCCACTCTACAGGGGCTTTCCAGGCCGGAGAGAAGAGAGTTGCGTTATCGGTGGAGAGCAACAGTGAACGGATACATTTGTCGCTTTATACGCAGCAGCACTGGGCTTGCTGTGCACTGAACAAATGGGAGCTTAGCTAATTTGATGGCTTATTGGACAGATGCAGGGAATGTGACTTATGCAAGGAATGTTAAACATCTTCTGGTGGTGGTGGAAGGTCGTGCAGACCTCAGCTGTAAGGTGATGCATGTATGTGCATCTGCAAGTAGACACCACTGATTACATGACAGAAACAACACGTGTCGTTGTTTTTTTTAAACCTGATTAATTTGGAATTTTGCTGGTGTGCAATATTCATAGCACACTCTAAGAAGCGCTATCAGAGTTTGGAATGCAGTTTGGCCAGTTATATTGTTTATATTTTGTGCACCAATGTTAAGAAATATGCCGTCAAATTAACCCTTCATTTGTTGAGTTTAAGCCGAGCGCTGTTATGAATGTAAACAAGAGTGTTGTTTTGTAAACATGCAGAGGAGTGGTATTTCTTATGGAGCGGGGGGCACCTGGGATTGTGGCTCACGGCTGTGTAGCAGCACTCTGGAGGCAACGGTCAGTGCACCACGTATTGTGGTTGGGCTACGAGGTGGCCACGACATGGCAGTACAACAAATGGGTCCATGGACCTGTCTTTGTGGACTTCTACGTGTCGTCTCGTTGTCCCGTGTGTGATTTCTCCCGCGACTCCACTTTCCTCCCACAAGTAAAAACACTCCAATAGAATTGGCCAAATGTCCAAATTCAGGACCCTCCTGAAAAACGACTGAATCTCTTTGTGAAGCTTTCATGGATATATAAATGGATATATAAATGACATTATAACTTCAGTGCGGTGGCTGGGGCGCCCAGATGGCTCATGCTGCGTTAGAGCGCTGAACTGGCACCGCGTGCAATTCTGCGTTTGAATTCCAGGACAATCGCTGCAGATTGAAGCAGATTCATGCATAGCAACTTTGTATGTTCAAACTGCTATTACCAACACGGTAGAATTAGCCACGTGAAGGACCGTGTTGTGCAAGTGTGCACAGTACACTCGGCCAAAGATATTTCCTTTAGTATGGCTTTAGGGCTTACTTGGGATTTGATGGATTACAGACGCACATTGATACAGCCAAGCACTTGGAAATGTTATTCTCATTCTTGTCCAGCTCGGGCTTAAAATCTGCACGTCTCTCATTTAATCGCCTGAAAAATGTGCACAGGAGCTTTGCAATCGTGCTCTTAGTTTGTGGCAGTTCAATCCGAGCATTGTATTTACATTTATCATCAGAATATTCATTACTTTAAACCCATGATTAGCAGCAGAAACGTGAGGCTGTGCGTGTGATAGAGAACAAATCCTGATTGGCTCGAGGAGAAAATTTTTTTCCGAGTTGTAGTTGTGCTATTTACAATGTTCATACAACTTATCATATCATACAAAAAACTTAACACGTCTGTCGGTGTCATTTTACCACGTTTTGATTGACTGGAGGCGAAAATCGACTCCGTGTGAGGCTTTCTTGGTTAAATAAATGTTATAAAATTAATAACAAATAGAGACCATTTCACCTTACACTGAAGTAATTTCAGTTTAATATTAAAAAAACTATACAAGCTTTCAATACACATCTGAAATTAACACGATCTACAGAGTACTCATGTCATCATAAGCCCGTCAATCAAACTAGTGTTGCCAGTGTGTGGCATCATGTTTGTCTCCAATCGATTTGGAAAGTCACAGTTACGTCGAATCCGTTGGTCTCTCGCCAAACTCCGTCAGTCCAGCTGGGGGACGGCAGTCGGCCCACCGCCACGGAAGCGCATCGAGCGTCCTCTCCTGTGACGCGGCCACCCTGAGGAGTACCGCCACAGGCCTGGCCCATTTCGCTCAGGTCCGGTGGAAGAAGAGTGGCAGAGAGTTTCCCACCAGGCAACCGCGCGGTTTGCACAGCGCTTTATGCCGGATTCAAGTTTCGCCCCTTTACACGCGGTGGGAAAAAGCAGACGTTGATCGTGGCTGTGGCAGAGTTAGGCCAAGGTCAGAGAGGGGAGCACAATGCTGTGGTTTGTGATGCATGTTTCCACCCAATGCAGGCTTGTATCTGCAGGCATGTGCACAGTGGGGTGAGTGGGGTGAGCAGTGTGGGGTTACCGCTGTGCTAGACACGCTTGCAGGTGCCTTGACTACTTCATAACGTCAATTCCACAATGTTCTTTGGGTGCCTTGAGTATGATACAGCAACCTCGTCATACTGTGACTCTTATACACACACAGTCCGATTCATGTGTTGACAAATGTCCCTTGTCCAATTTTGGCACCACCTAAGTTTTTTAAAATGTCCCTCCATTAACAAAATCGTTCTTTTCACAAATTTCATCGGCCACATTGCCTTCTGATAATGCATAATTAAAGCAGCATTGGTTTAGAGCTGTGCGTGCTGTGTGCGTGCTGTGTGTGCTGTGCGTGCTGTGTGTGCTGTGTGTGCTGTGCGTGCTGTGCGTGCTGTGCGTGCTGTGCGTGCTGCGTCTCACCTCCACCCCAGCAGGGCCGGCCGCCATGGAGAGCTACGCCAAGTTCTGTTGCCTCGTCATCTTCATCAGCTTCAGCGTCTTCCAGGCGCTCTTCAACTGGGTCAGCCCCCCGCTGTCTCGCCTCTTCTGCCCGGCTTTCGCCTCCCTCACTCCGGCCAAACAGATCGAGTGGCATTCCAGGTGCGTGTGCGGCGCGGGCGCGCTTTTGAAAAGATGCCAGAAAACCAAGTTTTGGTTACCAGTGGCTGCGGAAAACCTAGGTGCTAAAATTCCGGCAAAATTATTATGATACAGTCGGTTAATGAGAGGGAACTGCTCATGAGACCAGATATGAAATGTGTGCCCGTGTGGCGTGCAGGACGGTGTCGACGTTGCACGCCTTGATCGTGGGCTTCTTCTGCCTCTACATACTGTGGTTCGATGATGCCGTCAATAAGGACCCAGTGTGGTGAGTCTGCGATGCTCTGCAACCCCCGTGGCGGAGTTACCGTTCGTTCCCGCCTCGCTCAAAACGGTTTGCACAAAGTGGGAAGAAATCTAACGTGCAGTCAACGCTCACACACGTTGTGCACACAATAGGTTTCTTTTTTTATAATACAGCACAACGCCACTTCGTCATCCATCACATATCTATCCTGACTGAATGAAAGCCCACGTGGTGAGGGATCTGTGGTGGTGGTGGTGGTGGTGGTGAGGGATCTGTGGTGAGGGATCTGTGGTGGTGGTGAGGGATCTGTGGTGGTGGTGAGAGTTCTGTGGTGGTGGTGGTGGTGAGGGATCTGTGGTGGTGGTGGTGAGGAGGGATCTGTGGTGGTGGTGAGGGATCTGTGGTGGTGGTGGTGGTGAGGGATCTGTGGTGGTGGTGGTGATGAGGGATCTGTGGTGGTGGTGAGGGATCTGTGGTGGTGGTGAGGGATCTGTGGTGGTGGTGGTGGTGAGGGATCTGTGGTGGTGGTGGTGAGAGATCTGTGGTGGTGGTGGTGGTGGTGAGGGATCTGTGGTGGTGGTGGTGAGGGATCTGTGGTGGTGGTGAGGGATCTGTGGTGTGGTGGTGAGGGATCTGTGGTGGTGGTGAGGGATCTGTGGTGGTGGTGAGGGATCTGTGGTGGTGGTGAGAGATCTGTGGTGGTGGTGAGGGATCTGTGGTGGTGGTGAGGGATCTGTGGTGGTGGTGAGAGATCTGTGGTGGTGGTGGTGGTGAGGGATCTGTGGTGGTGGTGGTGAGGGATCTGTGGTGGTGGTGAGGGATCTGTGGTGGTGGTGGTGAGGGATCTGTGGTGGTGGTGTTGAGGGATCTGTGGTGGTGGTGGTGAGGGATCTGTGGTGGTGGTGTGAGGATCTGTGGTGGTGTGTGGTGGTGAGGGATCTGTGGTGGTGGTGGTGAGGGATCTGTGGTGGTGGTGGTGAGGGATCTGTGGTGGTGGTGGTGAGGGATCTGTGGTGGTGGTGGTGAGGGATCTGTGGTGGTGGTGTTGAGGGATCTGTGGTGGTGGTGGTGAGGGATCTGCGGGTGGCGTTGCCTGGGCTCCTCGTGTGCGCGCCACACTTGGTGGCGTGGCCGCAGGAGCGCTAAACCACGGTCGTGCTCCCCTAGCTTAATAAAACTAGTTTAGTTTGAACTAGTTTATAAGTTTGCTTTCGTTCCCGCCTCGCTCAAAACGGTTTGCACAAAGTGGGAAGAAATCTAACGTGCAGTCAACGCTCACACACGTTGTGCACACAATAGGTTTCTTTTTTTATAATACAGCACAACGCCACTTCGTCATCCATCACATATCTATCCTGACTGAATGAAAGCCCACGTGGTGAGGGATCTGTGGTGGTGGTGGTGGTGGTGAGGGATCTGTGGTGAGGGATCTGTGGTGGTGGTGAGGGATCTGTGGTGGTGGTGAGAGTTCTGTGGTGGTGGTGGTGGTGAGGGATCTGTGGTGGTGGTGAGGGATCTGTGGTGGTGGTGGTGGTGAGGGATCTGTGGTGGTGGTGGTGATGAGGGATCTGTGGTGGTGGTGAGGGATCTGTGGTGGTGGTGAGGGATCTGTGGTGGTGGTGAGAGATCTGTGGTGGTGGTGAGGGATCTGTGGTGGTGGTGAGGGATCTGTGGTGGTGGTGAGAGATCTGTGGTGGTGGTGGTGGTGAGGGATCTGTGGTGGTGGTGGTGAGGGATCTGTGGTGGTGGTGAGGGATCTGTGGTGGTGGTGGTGAGGGATCTGTGGTGGTGGTGAGGGATCTGTGGTGGTGGTGGTGAGGGATCTGTGGTGGTGGTGGTGTTGAGGGATCTGTGGTGGTGGTGAGGGATCTGTGGTGGTGGTGGTGAGGGATCTGTGGTGGTGGTGGTGGTGGTGAGGGATCTGTGGTGGTGGTGGTGAGGGATCTGTGGTGGTGGTGGTGAGGGATCTGTGGTGGTGGTGGTGAGGGATCTGTGGTGGTGGTGGTGAGGGATCTGTGGTGGTGGTGTTGAGGGATCTGTGGTGGTGGTGGTGAGGGATCTGCGGGTGGCGTTGCCTGGGCTCCTCGTGTGCGCGCCACACTTGGTGGCGTGGCCGCAGGAGCGCTAAACCACGGTCGTGCTCCCCTAGCTTAATAAAACTAGTTTAGTTTGAACTAGTTTATAAGTTTGCTTTCGTTCCCGCCTCGCTCAAAACGGTTTGCACAAAGTGGGAAGAAATCTAACGTGCAGTCAACGCTCACACACGTTGTGCACACAATAGGTTTCTTTTTTTATAATACAGCACAACGCCACTTCGTCATCCATCACATATCTATCCTGACTGAATGAAAGCCCACGTGGTGAGGGATCTGTGGTGGTGGTGGTGGTGGTGGTGAGGGATCTGTGGTGAGGGATCTGTGGTGGTGGTGAGGGATCTGTGGTGGTGGTGAGAGTTCTGTGGTGGTGGTGGTGGTGAGGGATCTGTGGTGGTGGTGAGGGATCTGTGGTGGTGGTGGTGGTGGTGGTGAGGGATCTGTGGTGGTGGTGGTGATGAGGGATCTGTGGTGGTGGTGAGGGATCTGTGGTGGTGGTGAGGGATCTGTGGTGGTGGTGGTGAGGGATCTGTGGTGGTGGTGGTGAGAGATCTGTGGTGGTGGTGGTGGTGAGGGATCTGTGGTGGTGGTGGTGAGGGATCTGTGGTGGTGGTGAGGGATCTGTGGTGGTGGTGGTGAGGGATCTGTGGTGGTGGTGAGGGATCTGTGGTGGTGGTGGTGGTGAGGGATCTGTGGTGGTGGTGAGAGATCTGTGGTGGTGGTGAGGGATCTGTGGTGGTGGTGAGGGATCTGTGGTGGTGGTGAGAGATCTGTGGTGGTGGTGGTGGTGAGGGATCTGTGGTGGTGGTGGTGAGGGATCTGTGGTGGTGGTGAGGGATCTGTGGTGATGGTGAGGGATCTGTGGTGGTGGTGAGGGATCTGTGGTGGTGGTGAGGGATCTGTGGTGGTGGTGAGGGATCTGTGGTGGTGGTGAGGGATCTGTGGTGGTGGTGGTGAGGGATCTGTGGTGGTGGTGGTGTTGAGGGATCTGTGGTGGTGGTGAGGGATCTGTGGTGGTGGTGGGTGAGGGATCTGTGGTGGTGGTGGTGGTGGTGAGGGATCTGTGGTGGTGGTGGTGAGGGATCTGTGGTGGTGGTGGTGAGGGATCTGTGGTGGTGGTGGTGAGGGATCTGTGGTGGTGGTGGTGAGGGATCTGTGGTGGTGGTGGTGAGGGATCTGTGGTGGTGGTGTTGAGGGATCTGTGGTGGTGGTGGTGAGGGATCTGCGGGTGGCGTTGCCTGGGCTCCTCGTGTGCGCGCCACACTTGGTGGCGTGGCCGCAGGAGCGCTAAACCACGGTCGTGCTCCCCTAGCTTAATAAAACTAGTTTAGTTTTAACTAGTTTATAAGTTTGCTTTCAAATACTTATTGGAATCGCAGAGAATCTACACTGAAGCGTGGAAGCTTCACTGCGGTGAGGTTTTTCATCATCATCATTAGCCGTGGTCAAGCCACTGCTGGATAAAGGTCTTTCCAAGCCGTCGGCATCTCTCGTGATCCTGCAATGTATTAATCCACCCAGCACCTGCACACGAGCCGATTTCATCGCTCCATCTCCTCAGTGTTCGTCCTCCTGGATGCGTTCTACCCCTTGGCTTCCACTGCCGTCAGAAATTGTCCCTTCCAAGCCCAAGCCCCACTCGCGCTCATTAGCACTTCTCATTGTGGTCTTAGCCTGCAACATGTTCATCATACACGTGCTCCTCTTTCAGTCTGAAATGTTTTATCTGTAATCGAACTTGTCTCTTCAGCCTTAGTGGTTGCGTCTGGCAGGAAGGATTGTGGCTCCCCAGGCCCCATAAATAACTGGATTCAGCCATAAGATTAAATACCGGAGTGAGACGACATTCACTTGGCACTCCTATGCCCTCTGCTGCTGGCATTGCACAAGTATGGTTCGGCAAGGTGGTAGATCTGTTCTGGTAGTTGTGTGTGCGTGTGCTGTATCTCGGGTAAAATGGAGCATTTCTTTTAAAAAATGTTGTAGCTATTTGTAAAGCTTATTCCAGCTCTGTGAAGTAAGCAAAGTTGAAATGACCTTTGGACAACGCGTTCAGCAATACATATCAAATACCGCAGAGTAAACAAAACTAAAAGGCGAGACACTTTAGAAGCTTGTTGTTGCACAGCCCTGATAGCTTTTGGCCACGGGAGACGATGATTTCTGTAAAAAAAAAACTCTGACACTTGGAACAAAACGATTCAACTGTCATGTCACGAGATTCTGCTGCTGGCGTAGTTTGTGTTTAAATACAGTGGAGTTTGACTTGTGATGTCAAATACATTGTGTTGGCTTGGGGGCCAGAGGATTCAGCCGGCAACGCTGAGATGTTTGATTCAAATCTGGGTTTTGGCCGGCCGTGATTAAACCGGGATCTCAAGTGTAGGGAGTTGATGGTTTCAGCCCGGTCAACAATGACTGCACAAAAACATTACATTAACTTTATTTTTTTTACAACTAATCCCGCTAAATCAGAAATGTTTGGCTATACCCGAGTGGCAGCATTCTTCCCACTGTGGTGGTTTCCCCCTTCACGTGTAGTCAGCACGCTTGTCGCTCGCAAGGGTTGAAGGCAGGGGTTGGCGGATCGCACAGATTTCTAAAACTCCCAAAGCCAATGGGCTGTGAGGTGGCCAGGAGATTGCAGTCCTGCACGTCTGTATGGATGTATGTACGTTGAACTTCTTTCGCACCATACGTAGCCAACCGTGCTAATTGGAGGTGCACCTGAATTATTGAATCGATCTGTGTGGAACCGGTGTGGTCCGTGTGGGTTTCCCCTTCTCCCGTTTCCCCCTACATGATAAGCCCAATCTTGTGGAAGCGACCAAACATCCCAATGCAGCAGCACCCTCCGGAAAAGGTGTCTCGAGACCCAGGAAAGATGCGATTGTTTGCCCACTAAATCACTTGTGGTTTTTGCCCCCCCCCCCCACTGACTTGTTTGTTTTTTCCAGGGGAGATCCTAAAATCGTGCAGCTCAACATTGCCATCACGACGGGATACCTGTTCTCAGGTGAGACGCGGCACAAACACCGCCACCCCATCACCGTTGGGGTTCAGGGCGGCGGGCGCCCTGGGGTGGCGAGGGAGAGGACGTGGGGGCGAGTCGCTCGCCACGCCACGGACACCGGCGACACGGAGCAAAGCCGCTCGTCCGGGTAGAGGCAGGGGTCAAAGATCGCATTTTGTGAAGCCGATCCTTCCCCTTGGCACTTAGGACGCGCAGGTTGTGTGCGCGGTGCAGGTGGTGGCTATACCCGCATGCTGTGCAACCACGGGCACGCCGTCGACCGAACAGCTCCGCTCCCTTTGTGCCACGGGGTAGACGTAGAGGCGACGGTTGCGTAAGTGCACAGTGCAGGGCAACGTTGAATACATTCTCCTCTTTTGCGTTGCTGTGCTTTGTTATGCCGAGCTCGGGCGTATTTTACTGCTGTGTTTGTACAAACGGTTGGTATTACTTCCTCTCGGTGCTCTTGAGTGCTATTGCGTGGCAGGAACCCAGGGCTCTACTATTTTTAATCGCAGGACCGCTGGCTGGCTGCGTGTATTTACCGCCGTATGACACATCCGCTTCATGGGAGCTGTTGTGTTGTGATGAGGTCGCGAGGTTTAACGGCGGTGGTGACGCACGGTCAGCTGATTCGATCGTCAACCTAAATATATTAACATGGCGCAGAGCAAAGCGAAGGTTTATGGTGCGCCAGCCTGGGTCACAGCCAGCCTCACCACTCCTGCCAGCAACGCCACCGCTGCTGCCTTGGGGGACAATATACCGTGGCCCGACGTTTCACGCATTGGCCTTTATTCGAAGCTGAAGAAACCTAAACAATTATTTGACTGACGTAGAGTTTAAGAATGTTTATAATCAGGTTGTGAGTAAAGAAACAAAGAAATGTTGTGGTGAGTCCATATTTGGGTTTGGGCCACGTGGTAGTTTTATGCCAAAATTATCTGTCTCTAACCCTCCGCCACCTAACTAGATTGTCACGTTTACAAACATATTTATACTGTGTCAACGTGGCGATGAAACTCTGGCCTACGGCTTGAGACTTTTTCTATGTCTTGAGACTTTTCACGACTGACCTCTTCACCAACGTACGACGACGTTCCGCTCGGATGTTTTTTTGTCCCCGCTACGCCGACCTGCTGCACTGCGGTGTGTGCGCAAAGTAACGGGCGGGTGTTGCCTACAGATTTCCTGCTGATCGTATGCAACTGGAACGCCATTGGGGACAAGTTCTTCATCATGCACCACCTGTCTGCCCTCTACGCCTATTACTACGTCATGGTGAGCGCACAGCTCATTCACAGACATGGCCTTTCTACTCTATACACAGTAGGCGGCGCTCTTTCACACATACTCTGGCAAGAGATTGTTCCGCTTAACGACAAGTCCAAGAGATATTTTGAATTCTCAGAGCCGGAATTTTACACAGCTCGTGTGCAAAACCATCGGTGACCTAAGCTACGGACATCAACTCTCTCCACTTGGGATTCCGGCTTAATCACAGGCAGCCGGCCAGATTCGAACCCAGGACCTCGGTGGTGCCAGCTGAGAATTCTGACCTGGGAACCAGCTGAGAATTCTGGGAACCAGCTGAGGATTTTGACCTGGGAACCAGCTGAGACATTTGTGAGCCAGCTCGTCATGTTGGTGGGGTGCACCTGCGTTCATTACGTGGACCATCGACGCTTGCCACGCCACCGCGGTCATTCCAGTGAGTGCCGCGTAATGCATCAACTTGGCCTGTCCGGTGACGATTCGCCTCTTACTTGTTGCTGCTGAGCCTTCAAATCGGCACATCGGGATTAGAAGAGAAGATCGGAGGCAAGGGAATGTACAGCGGAGAAGAGATGGAAGGAAGAGATGGAAGGAAGGATTATTTGGAAGGATGGGGACTGAATTGTCCTCCGGTGATTCTATAAAGAGTTGTGTGTCATCAGGGGCCAACTTTCAGGAGTGTTCATCGCCGTTACGCAAGTGAGAGAATGACGCAGGCCTGCCCCATGGAGGTGTCTGCAACACCTGTGGCGTGTGAATCTGCAGGATCCACACACCACTCATTCCTCTTACGGCTTCTCTGGTGTTGATGCGTTTTATTCAATTTGCAGGTCGATTGTTCCGTCGTTTAAAGTTTAACTTATATCAGTTTGCAATACACGCATAGGGTTTATATATTTGGCGAACATATGATGGTGTCGTATCACATGGTTTGAAACATCTGGAGTCCTTGTTTTTATTGGTATCTTATTTAATTCAATTCTTTATCTTTCATTATTTTAATCTGCTGCATGTTTTCAGTTTGGTTTTCGAATCACTCTTGCAGGAAGTCGTCGAGCCTATAACCACTACGAGTTGGAGATACTGCGGACAGACCGTTCATTGACACTTTGTAAAGTTTCAAATTACCAAGAATAGTTTTTTTATGTGCACATAAAATATGCATTGTACTCGAGTGTGGATGTTATGATTATCACTGAATAATGAGATATAATAAATAAATGTTGCTATGTTAGTGTTGCGGCTTAATCTCGAATAAACGTAGCAAACCACTCGTAACAAAGCTCGGCGCGTCACCCTGCGGTTCGACCTCCTCGAGTCGTGAGCTCTCAAGCTGCTGTTGCTGCTGCTGTTGCTGCTGCTGCTGCGCTGTTGTGTTGCAGGATCGGGGCGTGCTGCCGTACTTTGCCAATTTCCGGCAACTCGCCGAGCTGTCCACGCCGTTTGTAAACCAGCGGTGAGTCCCGTGTCCCCATCCCCTCCTCCACCACCACCGCCTCGCACGCGCCCAGCGATAGCGCCTTCGCCGCTCCTCGCAGAGGTGCGCGGTTTTGAATTTAGCGGCTGTGCTGATTAATACTGCGCAGGTGCGACGACCGCAATGATGCTGCGTGCCGTCTGCATTGCAGTCTCTCCCTTTGCAGCTACTATCACACGTCAGGCAAATTAATGATTGAATACATCTGGCTCTGGCTTATGCAACTGTTGAGGTTTCTAAATATTTACTGTTGAAGTTGGGGGATGAATAATGCTGTTCGTGCCGCGAAAGTGCAAACGCAGCAAACGAGAGCGGGGGGGGGGGGTTGCACTGAGCCGAAGAAGGGAAGGGTCACCGGGAGGATGATGACCGGCGCACGCTGCTGCTGCTGCTGCAGCGGACGTCTGTGAGAAGGGAGGAATCCGTGTTGGCTCTCGGTGTGTTTTGTTTCTGGAGAGAATCACGTGGACAGTTGCGACGTCCCCCAGCCGGCCCTGGCCCGGTTGCAAGTTTCAAGTTCTTAAAACGATCTCGGCGAGAGCAGCGCAACTGCTGGGAGGCCACGATGAGGTGATTGCTCCTCTTGGCTTTTGGTTTAGCAACGCGGGAGCTCATCTGAAGTTTGCTAAATGAACTGAGAGACGAATATGTTCACCGCGCCAGAAGTCGAGTAGCGTTCTCTGTTAATCTCAATGCACGTACAGTGTGCAACCCTTTGCCAATCCACTGCTGGATCAGGCCCTCCCTATGCCGTGTGGGTCGAGAGGGTTACTTGACCATGCTTCACCACGCAGGTCAGTGCGGGTTGGCAGAGGTGATTGTCACAGTGCCGTGGGCTTTTTATCCGTGCGCCGAGGAATTACCATCTGTACTTAACATACATTTTAAGAATTATATTTCCTCTTTCCCAACAGGAATGTCTCGACTGAGCTTCAGCGTTCTTCTGATAGCGTACTGCCACAACTTCACTGGCCAGCGACACTTGCAAAGATGTCACTCTGCATGGATCGCTCACTAATGCTCAGTGTAAACGTGTACCCTCTTACTGAGCTGGCGCACGTGCAGCGAAACGTCTGACACCGTGCCAAACCACGCGCGGTACGACCAGAAAACACATCGGAGAGCCGTGCGGCACAGCTCCGAAAACCAGCGCAGTTCCAAAAGGAGCCCTCGGCGTGCTCGGCACGCGTTGTCTCGCTCGGCACGCGGTGTCTCGTTCGGCACGCGTTGTCTCGCTCGGCACGCAGTGTCTCGCTCGGCACTCTGTGTCTCGCTCGGCACTGTGTCTCGCTCGGCACGCCGTGTCTCGCTCACGCGCTCCCCTAACGCTGCGTGCGCCCGCTTCGCCCCTTGCACCGCAGGTGGTTTTACGAGGCGCTGGGGTACCCCAAGGCGGGCGGCCCGTACGTGGTGAACGGCGTGCTCATGGCCGTGGCCTTCTTTGCGGTGCGCGTCGCGGTGATGCCGCCGTACTACGGCCGCATGCTGGCCACCGTGGGCACGGAGGCGTTCGCGCGCCTCGGCACGGGCCCCCAGGTGTCGTGGGTGCTGTCCAGCGTGTGCCTCGACGTCATGAACGTCATGTGGATGTACAAGATCGCGCGCGGCTGCTACAAGGTGCTGTTCGTGCGGAGCCAAGGGCGGCCAGTCACCAACGGGAAGTCGCAGTGAGGCTCCCAGTAAAACGCGAGCCGCCACCGCCCTGGCGCGAGCGCCGGCGGCACGCGGGAGGCGGCACACGTGGGCAACGACGACGGCGGCGGTGGCCACGAGACGACGCGATCCCTCCCTCCCTCCCTGACGCGCTCACGCCGCCAGTCGGCGATCGGGGCCAGATAGAGCTGGCCTCCATTTCGAAGCTTCTTCCCCGCCCCCTCCCCGCCCCCCTGGGTTTATGTCGCCAACAACGGGCGCGCATCCTGCAGTACACATCCTGCAGTACACATCCTGCAGTACACATTCTGCAGTACACATTCTGCAGTACACATCCTGCAGTACATCCTACAGTACACATTCTGTAGTACACATCCTGCAGTACACATCCTGTAGTACACATCCTACAGTACACATCCTGTAGTACACATCCTATGGTACATCTTGCAGTACATCCTACAGCAGCACACCCTGCAGCACACATCCTACAGTACACATCCTACAGTACACATCCTGCAGCACACATCCTACAGTACACATCCTACAGTACACATCCTGCAGCACACCCTGCAGTAAACACCCTGCAGTACACATCCTACAGTACACATCCTACAGTACACATTCTACAGTACACACCCTACAGTACACATCCTTTCGCACAGCGGCCGAGTGCGGTGGCAGCGATCGCGACGAGCGGCGACCCGTCGCCCGATGGCCGCAGGGGGGAGGGGGGAGGGGCCTCGGCTTGACTTGTTGGGTGGCCGCTGTCGCCGTTGAATCTCGTGCAGCTGCCCAGCAGATGCGTGCCGCGGGGTCTGCGCGTGTCATAGATTTTATTTGTTGACGAGGATTAGGAACGTTCAGCTGTGAGCTGTTTTACAAGAGTGACCCCGCGGAGGGCCTTGGTGAACGAGAGAGAACGTGAAAGCATCGAAATCGTGACGTCGCAGACATTGAGAAGCAGCACACACCTTCGAGGGAAACAACATTGCAGGAGGGTAGACACTGCATTGTTGATCACACGAAGGCTTAGAAGAGCCGCCAAGTCCCTGCGCTCACTAAAATGGAGCCTTAAATGTCCATTTTCAATTGGTTGTCACTTTCTCAGATTTTTTGTAGAATTTTTTCATTGTCCAAATTTGTGAAATTGCCCGCAAATGACTCAATTGGGATCACAGAGCCGCAACATCGCCCCCTGCTGTGAAACTGCGACAGACGGTGGCGGCATTGCTTTGTAAGAATGATGGCACGAAAACCAAAATTAACTAAATTGTAACCATTATTGTGATGAATTATTAAAATTTGAAAAGAGGGGGGGGGGGGGAATGGCGTTTGAGGAAAGCGCAGGTTAGGGGGCAGCTTCACTGTGGCCAAGGCCTCCGATGGAAGCTGCCCGGAGTCGCGAGCCGCCTTTGTGCCACTCCACAGCCTCCCGCGCGTGGCGCTGCGGGTCTTTAGCGCGGGGCTTCCTGCATGGCGCCGACTGTCACGCTAGCGTGGAGCAGCAGCAGCAGCTGCTTTACCAGATGCCTCCACAATGCAATAAAATGCAATAATGTTAACGTTATGGCCTGGATACCATATACTGTACAGTATATACGTGTGTGTATGTGTGTTATTGTGTGCATGTTTGTATATGATAAACGTTTGTGTAAGCATTCGATACACGGCACATGAAGACGATATATACGCTGCCTGTATATATAGTAGAGGACACATGCAACAAACTGGGGGCTGTGATAGTTTTTGATGTCAAATGCATTTCTTCTTTTTTAAGATGAGACTTGATCCCACCGCATGTCAAGCGGTATGATACATGGATGTGAATAAAAGGACGGTTTCACGACGAGTCGCCGAGCCTGCGGTGACGCGCACGCCGCAACCTCCCCCACGAACTCGGCCCGCCGTTGCCGCCGCCGCTGCCGCGTGGGGGATCTGCCACGTGGGGGATCTGCCACGTGGGGGATCTGCCTCGTGGGGGATCTGCCTCGTGGGGGATCTGCCTCGTGGGGGATCTGCCTCGGGGAGGGCGTCTCGAGCTTCGGTCCCGTGCCACTCTCCGTCGCGGGGTAGCGGCCGATCGACGGAGACGTGCCGGCCTCGGGCTCGGTTATCCCGGCTTGCGACGCCTCGCCGCTCCCCTCGGGGTGAGACGACGCCCTGCCGTGCGCCCCCGGCCCGGACGGGGGCGGCCGCCGTATCTGCCCCTGAGGAGGGCCGCTTTGTGGAAAGCGAAGCGTGCGTAGGGCCGGTGAGGATGGCTGCGGTTTGAGAAGGCCTCTCGCGGAGGCCACGGTTTGTGTCGCTGTCGGCCGGACTCGTGTCGTGGAGGTGAATGTCGTCGCTCGACCCCGCAGTAAGTGCTACGATGCACTGTGGATGTTGGGGTTTCGGTCGCCACAGTAACGATCCGGCCACATCTGTCGCAAGGCCCTCCACCGCCCGACAGCTAGTCGAGTAACACCGTCGTGTACGGGCATCTCGAGTAGGTGCTATAATGACGGCTACGAAGTTTAATGGAGACTAATGTTTATCTCTTAACTGAATCATAATTGTGAATAGAGACTTCAGTATGAGACCGATACATCTGGGATAGGCAGATGAATTCGTTGAATATTTGCTGTCGGTTTATAAGACGCTAAATGCCATCGGACATGCTGAGATCTCGCCTCACGTGGGGCACCAGGCGAGGTCCCAGTGGAGCGAGGCTCGTGCAGCAGCGGCGGCAGCAGCAGCAGCGAGGACTTTGGGCAAATTCCATGCGGACATTGAGAGTGGGCAACTTGGCGCAGGGACAAAAATAACATTAAAGAAAACATCCACATGCTTAAAGATCACAAGTTAAAACCCGCAGCATTGAAACAGTAATAGTAAACAAACTAAATACTTTAAAAAATTGTAATTCACTGGTGAACTAGAATTCAGAATGTACACAGACAGACAACTCGCAATGCACACACAGTAATCACCTAAAAACAGGCTCGTGGTTTCCAAATACTTAAAAACAAAGTGTCTGGAGCATCTTCACGGAGTTTTCTCAAACTTTTGGGAGTTTGGGAATGTGGTTGGGAACGTTGCAAGGGTTTGATTTTCAGAACGACCAGTCTCTGACGACCGAGTAGGATTGCTGTTTAACCCTTTTAAACAATTTTAACGAATAGAAATTTAAATCGAAGCGATAGAAAGTTTTTTTAGTTTTTAAATCTCAAGTGAAGTATACAATTGTTATTCACCTAACATGGCTTGGACGTAACCGTGACGATGCGGTGGTCTCTTCAGTTTGAGCTGCGTGGACTTCGGAAACAAACCCGAGATGGCAATGCTCGCTCAGTCTCGCGTGGTGGCTGCGTCGCGTGTTTGCACCGTGGTGCCCGATCGCGGGGGGTTAGCGCCGCCTCCCAGCAGTCGTGCTCCCGAGGAAAGTCGAGTGGCTTCCGGCTCACAGCCCGAAGTCAGTGCTGGAAATTCCACATTCCTATGGTGGGGTGGTGAATGTCCGTAGCACAACCAGCCACTGTTGACTTCCACAAAATGTGGTAATCATGTTATCCTCCCTGGAGGATTTCAGCGACAGGATTGATCTCGATACGAGCCCCACCCACTGGCACCACACGGCGGAGGAGGTTTTGCTGTTGTGCTGTATCATGGCTCTCCCGCCTGCGTTCGGCACTCGGGAGGGCTCTGCAGCGCCACCTGGCGAGAGAGAGGGAGGTGGCATTAACCGTAAATCCAGAGACCGGGATCAAATCTTAACATTCCGATTGCCTTCTCTGTACAGCAACAGTGTATATATTGGCCTCTCAAATCCAGTGGTGTCCATTCGTCTGTGCAGATGGGTATGCAATGTATTTGTTAACAACGCGCGACCCCCGATCCCGTCACCTCGACTCCGCAGTGGCCGTGGGCAGGCGGCCCTCGGCACTGCCCTCGGGCGATCCGTGCTGAGATTTCAAAACGGAGCTTCACTGCTTTGAGCTGAGGCCGTCAGTGCGTGCACCACTGCGGATGGCTATCGACCTTTAACAAACAATGTCATCACGATGCTAATTTGTAAATAAATAAGTGTGCCACTTAAGTCGTAAATACAACTATTAACCTAGTTACTAATATATTCAGTGGACAAGAGGTGTTTGGTTCTAATGGGGTTTCTGCTGGTTAGGAAGAAGGCTGTGACGCTAATGCAGCGGCAAACAAATCGTGGCCCGCGTAGCGTGCGCCTTGGTGTGCTTGAGGCGTGCAGACCCCACGCGGTACGATCCAGCCGCCGTCCCGGGGTCCCCCCCCCCCCCGCCCGCTCGGTGGCCAGAGCCTTCGCATGCACCATTGCCGTCCCACCCTGGAAGAGGTCAAGTTGGTCCAGACCAGTTTGACCTCTCGTCTTCATTGACATCTCAATCAAAGCGCACGCTCGCTCTCCGATGCGCTTCGGCGCGTACCGCGTGATGTTCGGCACTGTGTCCGACGTTTCGCGCCGGCAATTCCATTTGCTCCACGTGCTGGGAGCTTCTTCAGATTCTGTTTCCGAAGAAGCGCACGGAGCGAAACGTCGGACATACTGCCGAACAACACGTGGGGTGCAAACTGAAGGCACCCTGGACAGCTGTACCGCGCAACTGTGAAAACCTCCCCCCCCCCCCCACAAGTAGTATAAGTTCCTTGTTTTCTGGATAGGTCATGGTGGTTGTTGGTAACCGTGTGCGTGCAGATGTAGGTCACGAGAAAGTGCTTAATGTTACTCCATGAGCAGAAGCCGTGGCATTGCTTTGAGCTCGTGTGGTTGTAGTTGGGCTGATGACGGCACAAGGAGTGGGACCGACTCCTCATTACCGGCACACCGTCCAGACACGTGGATGTGCTTCGACCATAAACACGCAAAGTACTACGCGGCATAGGGCATCAAATCTCTGATGGAGGATGTTTGAAAAAAAGTGTAAACAATTATTTTGCTTTCATTTTTATTCTCGCATCAGCCCAAGCTAGCATTGTTTCGTCTGTATGTTGAACCTCTTTCGCACCGTACGTCGCCAGTCGTGCTAATCGGGATCGCGTTTCGGAGCATTGCTGCTGCGTGTGTCAATACCACGCTTGCGGTCTTCGCCGGTGTCGCCCCCCCCGTGTCGAGCAGTGTGCACGCCTCGTGAAGAATACCCCCGGACCTTAAGTTACATTCATCATCGCGCTTAATTTACCATTTCATAGTTTTGTGAATGTTGCTATTTGACGATGAAGAGAATGTGTGCACACGTCAGCAATTTGCGCAGCCCCGGCGCGCGCGTACGAGCTGCGCTTACACATGGAGGACATTCCGCATGCGTGTGGCATGCGTGTGGCATGCGTGTGCACCTGGTAGGCGTGCGGTCCAGGAGAGGCAGAACCTCGGCTCGCGAGCCGCATGCGGCCCCTGGGCAGTTTCGCGCGGGCGGTTCGAGAGGGGACTACTCAACTCGTGACCTTCCAACAACACTCCACGTGAAAGAGGGGGGGAAACATGTGCGGAAGCCGCAGTTGTGCGGGTCACCCCTCCCCTGGTGGTGTAGCCAGACACGAGTGCTCCCCGGGCGCTCCCGCAGATTTCCTAATTCAAAACTCCGCAGCCGAGCAGCCCCCGCCACGTGTCGTGCGGCCCCCAGCCACACGACTCTGCTGCTGGGTGGCTCACGGGGGAGGGGGGGGGTCAGGCGTTTGTATTGAGACCTATATGAGATCTATACGCACTTACATATGCATGTTCCATATCGTTAAACTGTTTGTGGGCCGTTCTTTGTGCTGTGTTTAAGATAAAAGTTGCGCCGTTCTGCATACGCCTCGGATGCATTTAACCAAGAAATGTAGCATGCATGTATATACTTTTGGTCTTTTACATTTCATCAATTTCCCAAAGTACACTTTTCTATGTATTTCCTATTGAATTGACACTTTACGTAATTGTCAAATGATAATTTCACGAAAAATATGCAACCGATGTAAAAACGTTGAACCATAGGACCTGCTTATTTAAAGGATGTAACCGAATTAAGTGGCGATGTTGTTCAAGAGATGGCATTTTAACACCGCTTCTCGCTACATTAGACATGGAGTTCATCGCAGTGTGTGAGATTTGTTGTGCAACCATAACCCACGGGTGCTGCTGTAAGCCAGCGAGACCAATGTTGCATTGCGTGTCACGCATCGCCAGTGAAAGAATACCTCAAACTGAACGCTGCCCACCATCGAGGCCCTCTGCCCAGGAGTCGCGTCTCACGCGGTGTGCCGCTCGCCGCGTTCCCTGTCCACCTCCCCCACGGCGGGGGCCTCCATCCTCTCCTGTCTCTGCCACCTCTTCATTCCCAATTCTTGGCCTTTCTCGCCCCGTCCCTTCTCCGGTAACGGCCTTTGTCATCAACCAGTCCCCTCAAGTTCGTCTCCGTCGGATGACAGCCGCCTCCACGCTCCTCCTTTCGTCGATACCGTTCGAGATGTCCCCATTGGCCGTCTCGATGCAGCTCGCGGATCTGCAGCCTTCTCCTCCGTACCCACGCCTCCGTTTCACTCCGTCTCACTCCGTCCAATCTCCTCCGTGTCCTCGGACAAAGTTACACTCCACCACATTGCCGCCTTCTGCCGCCACTGCACGTGGACACGGGGACTGGGCTCTGAGAGCTGGTGGCATCGTTACACTTTGTAGAAGTTTGATAAAAGGCGCACGCGAAGTTGAGGCCACTAAGAATGCAGGCCTCGTGAAGGACTCTGCGGAGCTGTTGACGAGCGCGTTCATCGTTGTTGCTTATATTTGCTCAGTGCTCTCTGGCTTCGTTTATAAATAAACCTGCCCGCTGCTGTGACACGGTGCGCTCTCTCATCCCGTTGCTGCCGTGTGCGTCAGTTTGTTGTGCGCGCGTGAAGGCCACGCGGAACCTGCACCGAATTGGTGATCTTTGTGCACTTTCACGTGCCCTGGCAGGTTAAACAAGGAATCTTAAATCCCCGTTCAGCCTGACATGAATGACCTCCACGGATTTATTACCTTGAGGTTTTATCTGAAGCAGACCCAACAATTAAGTTGTTGCAGCAGTGGTGGAATGTGTCGATTGTACACTAAAGACGACTCAGAATAACTCTCATCAAAATACATCTAAATAGCATGGTAGAAAGTGAATTCACAGCATCATTATTGTGACAAAGCAGTGTTTCGTTTCTAAAACAATTCGACATTTAAAAATGAAATTAAGTAAAAGTGAAATTTTCAGAATGTTTATTTAGAAACGGAAAAAACAGTCAATACCGCAGCCTTGGCTAACACCACGGGGGTTAATAAACATCACACACCTCTAATTCTACAAAGCAGAGATTTCAAAGTTTGCGATGGTTTACAAGGACATTTTAAAATCTGACATTACACGAACCCCCAAACGGGCTTATCACAAACTACACGAAGGCTTAAACCATCATCACAAAGTTTCATCGCCAAAGCAGTTTGTGAGGCAAATAACGAGAAGCGGCAATCAAAGCGCGAAACCACCCAACGCTCCAATGTGGGATGCGACGGTGCCGTGAACTCTTCCAGCAACGCTGTTCTTGGGCTGTGGGATTGATCGTTGCTGCAGGTGCGAGCCACTGCGCATGCAGGTACGGGACAACTGCGAAATAAGTTCACCATAACCGGTTGTTGTCACAGACTTTCAATTACTTCGAAAATAAGTTCAAATTAAGAGTTTGTCCTGGGAATTTAAAAGCACAGCAATCTAAACAACTTACGATGTTCAATGAACAAGCAGGCAAGAGCGTCGTGCCCCAGGAGGGGGTGGGCTGCGTCCATGCCATCGTGGACTCTGCTGGGCCACGACCGAATTCTCCGCACGACGCCACGGGGCAGGAACCGGCGCCTCTGGAAGGGCTGCTTCGTGACGTCATTTACCAAGGGCCGTTTCGTATTCACCACAGTGCAGTGCGGCTTTTGAATGGTCATTTTTTTTAATTCACCGAATTCGAAAACAATGTCTCCACTTGTTATTTTGGCTGCCTCCCCCTGGGGTCTAAGCAGCCCCGTTGCTCCTGGTGCGGAGCGATCCGCACGCAACACGCGGTCCATTCCCGCTCACGGCTAACATCAAGCGATAATAGAACTGGACTCGGCATCAAATATATGCCCGGTGCGGTGTTTTAATATCAGCGGTGGAGAGACAAAGGCGGCCGGGCGTGGTGCTAGCCACCGACACCCCCGTGTTGGCCAAGTCTGTTCAGGCGACACGGGGGATCTTTGACCAGATTTGTGCTTCTGACACGGGGCACAACTTTGGGCGTGCCGTGTTACTGTCCGCAGCACTCATAATCTGGAGAACACGGTCGTAGCATCAGCTGTTGTATGTCACGTCTTAGCATGGCAGTTAATCCACAACGATGTTTACAACTCGATGCTGTAAACGTCCTCCCCTGCAAAGCGTACACGTGACTTGACGCAGTTCACGAGCAACAATTCCAGCAACACTGCAGCAAGTCGCTCGAGCCACGTGTCAACGACAGAGGTAAGTGAACGACGCGGGTTGTTTAAACGGCGATTACCTTGTCGGGTAGACATACAAGCTTCGCAAGCTTTGGCAGAATTGCTCGTCGTGTGCATCACATCAATTATCAAAGTAAAACATTCTGCTCGCGAGTTTGTGTAAATTGTGAACATTTTTGACCATACTAGCACGGTAAGTGATCCTTCAAGCTGAAATGTTACCTTCAGACACCCAGGTTTTTAAGAGGAAATTCACTTTGTGTAGAATGATTTGAATGACCGCTGCAGAGACAACCGACTTGGGGGGATCGTGGCAGTGGTCTCCTTCGCCAACGAGAACAGCTGTTCACCCCCCACACACACAGGAAGCGAAGCCCCGTGGACGTGTCCGCGTTGTCCCTCGCCTGGGCGCGTCGCCGCCACGCGAACGGACGTTGGGGACTGCGGCGTCTCGAACGCCAATTCTCAATTCTCCCTCTCGTCTCAGACGCAAGAGCGACACCGCTGGGCACGCAGGCGGAGATTAAAGCGACTATCCCGTGCCACCACCGGAGGGAGTCTGCCAGTTGAGGACGCTTCTGCTGTGCCAAGAGGGGTGATGTCGTGTGCGCTGCGGCGGTGCCACCTGGGATCGGCGCATTCCTCGCCCGCACAGTGGCGGCCGTGCTGGCACTCGGCCTCTGTCCACTGTAGACCAAACCCGGGCATAGTTCTCGGTCCGCTTTGGTCCATCAGAACGGTGCAGTTCACCTCAACGAAGTTCAACACACGACCGGAACGAGACCTTGGTCTGCCAATTCCCAAACGGTCCGGGTCAAACCCAGACCAGTTGGCGGCAACCCTATAACGTGCAGCTTGTGCATATACTCTCAATGATAACCATCACATTGTATCTGCAATTGTGATGATAAATCCCGTAGTAGGCGAGGACCAAAATCATCACGCGTTTCTTGTCAAACACGGAACTGTGCATGCTCTCTATGCTGGTGAACACAAGGACTCATTCGCATGCAGTGTCATGTCTGGCAAATGCATGCAGACAACAATGACTGCTGGTGCCAGGCATCCACGGATACAGCAGGTTATGTCAAGGTTAACCTGTTTGAAACCTACCTGACAATTCAAGATATTCACCCGAATATTTAAAAGGTTCACTTTCCCACGCGGGTGCCTCTCAAGATCCTAGCAGGGGCAGCAGTCTCCGCGACGGCTACGCGGCGATTTTACGGCGTCTCAATCTGAGCGCACCACCACCACCGTGCCCTCGGGGTCCTCCTCCTCGACCACCATGGGGGGCAGCACGAGGCAGCTCCTCCCCGAGGGGACCCAACAGATCGGAGCGATCGCCGCCACTGCGAGCTCCGTGCCTCTGGCTCCGGAGCAGGCGAACCAATTGATCGGTGCCGTACGGCTGCCCAGGGTTTGGCGCTTGGCGCTGCGCCGCTCTCACGACGAGTTCTCGGGTTGCGACGCCGCGGGTCGTTCGGCACAATGCAGGCTCCCGGCACGCGCAGCGAAACGTCGGACATCGGTCCGAGCAACACGGCGCGAGCACACGCGGAGAGGCGCGTGCCTGGCCGCACGCGCCTGGCGGCATGCGCCGGTGTCCCGAGAGGTCATCGTAGCGCTCACGAGCTCTCGTTTCTACTCGGCACAAAACTTCCTTGGCATCCACGTCGTGCCGAAAAATCACGCGGAGACGAGTCGCGAGCTAAACCCTCAAACACTGGCATCACTGGCATCACTGTTACGCTGCAATTTCTACGACATTAGTACAACTTACCTAAAACAGACGCTCCTAACGTTTAACACGATAGCTTATGCATCGTACTACAGTCTCGTGACATAAAGCAACTGCAACCCTCAAAACATGTACGTGTAACCGACGGTTATCACCAAAATGCTCGGATAGTGTGCGATGGTTATTGGGTTTGAAGATTCCCTTTGCAAAAAGTTAAAATACAAAACAGGGCTCCACAGCACTGGATGTGGTGGTGCAGTGCCGCCGGAGAGAGGCACCCAGAGCGGCCTGTGACCACGCGGCCATGGACAGAACAACCAGTGGTGCGGAGACATCCCTGCGGCGCGCAGCCTTGCTCCCCGCCACAATGCATCACTCCCTCCAGTGTTTGGAGCAAGAATGACGATTAACCTTGAAGTGTTCAACGTAAGGAGCCGATCTCACACTTAACTCCGTACTCAAACTGTTTATTTGCAACAACAAAAAACCGCAATGATAAATTGTGGAACGCATCAATGCAGCCCCGTTTAAGAGTCGAAGGGCATGTTAAGGCAATGATGTCGAAACAGTTTAGGGTTCGGGTGCAGAGGCTGCAGGGATGAGTTTGTAATTGGAAAAAGTGCCAAATCATGAGAAATTTGCATTCAAACGAAGGCACTGATTACCGAAGCCACCGGCATGGACGCGTTTCACTGTCGTGCTCCGTGTCTCCGCGTGTGACGGGAGAGCCACGCGGAACCTCGCGGCTTCACAACCGCAGCAACGGCGGCGCCGCCCACACCTTGGCCGGGCCACACGCCGGCCGTGCCCCCGCGGCGGGAAGCTGGCCGCTTCACAAGTGAAGCGTGAAGGCTGCTCGTGTTGGAGATCCCAGCTACCTGTCATCAGCGAGTGCAGCAGCAGCACACGATCTCACGGGTGAATACTTTACTTGCTAAGAGGCGGTTCTCTTTCTGGTCGATTTGAATGACTCAGTGAGATCTAACTGGTGATAAACCGGGCACACCCTCAACATTCAAATTCACTTTAATACGGAGAGACAGGTGGGGCGGGCGACAGGAATGGATGTTGGAGCAAAGGGGGAATCTGACCGCCGACTTCCCGGAGAGTGGAGGGGCCCTCCGGCTCGAGAGGCTGCGGACGGCGGCGGCGGTGCCGCAGCCCGCCCCCCCCCGGCACGGCACCGCTCAGATGACCGACTTGGAGAAGGAGACGCGCAGCAGGCGGTTCTTCTCCAGCTCGTGGTTGTGCAACTCGGCCAGCGTCTGGATGGCCTCCTCCAGCGATTCCATCTGGACGAGGGCCATCTTGTGGTCGGTGCTGTCATCACCACCACGACCACAAAACCGCCAAGGTCACATGCGACGCATCGGACCGGCGTGCCGCTGCGCAGCCTAAACACGTCACCGCTTCTATCCCCGGCCACGTTCTCAAACGCCAGATTAACTCTGCCTTCATTATTGCAAAAAAACAATGCTACTGGGGCATTATCGGGTAAACGTCCAATTTATTCGCAATTGATGTTTGGGTCGCTTCAGCACCACCGGGAACGCTGGGGTGCGATCCACACACATTTAACAATTACGGACAACCTTCCGCCGGTAGTTACAACCGGCGTCATCAGTACGTTGCCAGAACTTGACTGCTGTCGAGAAAATGTTCACCGATTCTGGGCCTTAAATAGGTGAGGTGACATCATGAGCACACCGACATAGGTGAGCAGGACTTAGCAGGAGTCATACCTGCAGGTATTAACAAACTATTAAACATCATGGCCTTGTTGGCAGGCATGTTCCACAACTGCCGACATTTGTGTCTCGTGCCGATATTTCATCCCGTCGGGCCAAAAACACACGCATTACCACACAAGACGTTAAATAGGAGCTGCTTATCTATGTGAGACAAACGCAAAGACAACAGGCAGAGGGGATTTAAGAGGCCTGGCCTATTGTTTCAGCTGCCACGCCGGGAGATCGAATCGGCGAGCTCTGGATTGCAACTCCGCTGTGCTCACCGTTACGCAGCAGCGGCACATTTGCGTGTAGATCCTGGTGAAAGATATTCAGAACAATAATGTAAAACACTTACGCAAAGAACTTGAGTGCCTTCACTACGCAGCCATTGCTCTCAAAAAGGGTCTTCAGATCATCCTCCAACACCGAGGATCTGCAAGAATGAGAGGTTCAGTGGCAGTCAGTATGCGAACAGCAAATCATTTCGAAATCTGAGGCAGAGAAAGAGATGGCACGGAACGACGGTGGCAGAACAATGGACGCAATAAAGCAAGAAATACGAGACACAGCGATGCACTTCATAGAAACGCAAGGCACGCGTCCTAGTCCATCAGTCGACTGGCGGCCTTCTGTTGGCTTTCCCGGTGATACAGACACCATGTTTTAACAGGCCACACCCTGCTGATGAGACTCAGAAAGTCAAAACCAGTCCAGGGTTTAACATTTCTGTAACCCATGTCCGTAGGCCGATGGGCCAACAGCGTGTTACTGTATTTACTCTGGTAAAAAAGATGCCCATCTGTATTATTTTATTTTCCACAATTCCAAACGCAATACCACGTAATAGTAAACAGCTGATACGTTTGTTGTACGTTCTCCCCCGGTTCTGCGCGAGTCTTCTCTGGGTTTTACGGTGTCTGCCCATAGCCAAAAACATCCCAATGCTGAAAGACTTCCAGAAAACGACTCAATCGGGACAATGCACAGAAACATCGCCTCCCGACTGCGAACACTTGGCAGGATCCTCCGCTAATAGCGTCTTGAGACTCGGTGAGGTTTTCTCTTGTTTAGACGAGCGCAATAACACGTGCCAGTGTTTGCTCAACCCTCGGCCATAATAGCCATAGATGTTTCTAGCATTTTGTGTGTGCAATTCTAATCCCTACGAGGGGATTGCCTCTGCCAAAGCAGCAGGAAGCAGCCGGGGCAGACGTGCGTGGGAACCCGAGTAGCAGATTAGGAGGATTTTCTCAAGAAGCACTCTGACCATCATCTCGGACCACTGGAATTCTCACACAATCTCAAGAGTCTGAGAAACACAGGGAGAGAATCGCGTCGCTGCTCTGGATTGTAACGAATTCCGCACGCCCCCCCCCCCACCCCTCGCGAACACGACGGCGGCAGAGGCAACGCGGCACCCGACGGTCATCGTCGCGTCATCGCGAGCGGTAATCACGGGGGGGGGGGGGGTCGAGCGATCTCACGGGATGTTGGAGAGGTGCAGCGTGACGGAGGGAGGGAAGATGTGGTGGAAGTTCTTGGCGCCCATGCGGCGGAAGCGGTGCAGCGGCGAGTCGGAGAAGTCGCGCGTCAGGGAGTCGGAGCCGTCGCGCGGCAGCTGCACCGTCTGGTAGCGCGAGCTCGTCACGCGTATCGGCTTGCCGTACATCCGCTGCCCGTTCAGGTGGCTCATGGCTGCGGGAGGGTTCGGCGGGAAGGACGCGACGCTTATTTCTCTCCCACGGTGGCGCGCGTGCCACCGCGGTGGGAGAGACGAGTCGGACCAGTGGCTCGGCGGTTGGCGCACCGACCCTGGCACTGACGAGATTCTGGGTATGAATCCGGGTTTGGGCTGCACCCGATTTAACTGGCGAGTTGATCGACTCCACCCAGACTCCAATGACTGCAACAAATATTTCGCCATGCGTCGCTACGAAACTCCGGCTCTGTCCATCACACCTTGATTAATCAACATAGCCGACATCAATCCACAGCTGGATAAAGGCCTCCCCGAGCCACCGTGACGACGGCGTGGTCCGCCTGGCACCCAGCACGGCCGCCCTCCGAGACGCGTCCCGCTCCACGGCTGCCACTTCCTCACTATCCTCGACTTTTGGCCGTCATCTCTTCTTGCGACGTGTCCTGCCAAAACCTACGCCTTGTTTTTCAAATACGAATTTTTGTTCAAAATAACATTTTCATCATGCCCTACAGATACAATGCGGCTCCATCACGCTGTCGCTAAAATCACGCTGTCACAGCGCCTCTGTGTTGAGACAATTCCTCACCGTCATCGTCACGATTTGGTGCATGCACTTCATCTGTTTTACGCATTGTTACGTTCTAACTATTCAAATGAAATAGCACAGGGAGTGAGAGTTTTTGCTAAACTTTTAATGTTAGCGTGGTGAGTGTACAGAAATAATGTTAGCGGTGTGCGTTTAGTACCGGTGGCATGAGGCGTCGCGTCGGCGATTAATGTTGATTCTCGAGCGTACGATACAGGCATGGAATCGCAGTGTATGAATTAGTTTTTTTATATTTGGATATGTTTTAACTGTTTTGTTCACGTGACATTCTCCAGCCCATCAGATGCAGCTCCACTCACTAAAGGTGTTAAAAAAGGTTACAACCCTTGTGTTTTTTTATTTTCATTTTCGACAAAGCCAACCTAGAGTACCGGAGTCTAAATGTCGTGTGCGAGGACCGAGATCCCTGAGCGAACCCTACGGAGTGTAGCGAGCTACTGTGAGCTACCGTGAGCTACCGTGAGCTACCGTGCGCTACCGTGAGCTACCGTGAGCTAACGTGAGCTACTGTGAGCTATGGCGAGCATGTGGGGCAGGGGGCCGCCACCTCACCGATCTGCGCTTGGTTGGAGTCGGCCATCTGGATGAGCGCCGTGTCCTTCCTGTTGTAGAGGATCTTCACGCGCAGCACGTCGCCAAACATGCCTGCACGCGGCACGCAGACCCACGTCAGCACCGGCACCGCGCGGACAGCAGCCACCGCCTCCTCGCCGCTCGCCCTCCCCTCCAACGCGTGCCCCACCCACACACACGCACATGCGCGCACACACACACGCACGCACACCGCACACCACACACGCACACCACACATACACGCGCGTACGCACACACATGTACACACGTACACGCGCGTACACATCCCTGCCTCTCCTAGCTCCGCGCCTACAGCGATGCTACTGCCGGGTTACCGCGAGAACTTCCCACGCGACGAAGCTGCCCCGTGCGGAGTGCTGGAGCTGCGCAAGGCCTCCACTAGACGGCTCTACGGAGCATCACCCGCACGTGATTTGGCCTTCGTCCTAGAGAAATGCTGCGCTGGTTGTGGGGATTATTCGATCATACTTCACGGAGCTGCTTGAGCTCGTTGCTGATGACTTTGGCCGAAAACTGTGGATTGGTGTGCTGCAGGTGATGTTGTGTGGGAGGGGGAAATACTTTTACATTACAAACGCCATGGGACAAGCCCCCTGGCTTCCCTACACACAATGCATGTGGCTGCCCCCAGGGCTGTGGTAGCTGCCCTCAGGGCTGTGGTGGCTGCCCCCAGGGCTGTGGTGGCTGCCCCCAGGGCTGTGGTGGCTGCCCGCACGCTCCACAGAGCACGCAGGGCCTGGCCTAGCGCAGCCCAACTCATCCTCGGCGTCAGCGCCGCGGCTGTCGGTGGCGCCACGGTGCCGCGTCTCACCGACTTCGAGCCCTGCGCAGGGTTCCTGGGATCTTGTGCCAGAGTTGTAAGTGCCTCGTAGCGGCAGATTACGAGTTGCTATGGGATACATTCAGCTGGGAGGGTTGCCGACTAGCCTGGTTGGTATGGTGATCGCACAATGGAGATGTTCTTGTTTATAGATGCTATATAAATCCAAATGGCATCGTATTGTTCATACAACACTGTAAAGAGATAAGTATGCACGGATATTTCCATAACAAAACACTTCGGGGTCACCAGTAAAATAAAATAAATACTTCAAAGCCTTACCTTTCACATGGAATAAAAACAATGGTTAGCAAACTTGCAAACACAGTACTTGTTAAAGTTATTGCAACTTCTCGGCCTTAGTAAAATGATCTTATTCGCTTGCTAACATATAAATGTAGCCGTTTTACACGCGATTTTAAATTAACGTAAACGGTCGACTGTGAGTTCATGAATACGAACACAAACGAGGCAAAAACACAAATCCGTCAGAACTCGCATGCTATTAATCAAACACGCCGTGGTACTTAGCAGCACAATGAATGCATCTGCGATGAACAGATGAGACACGACCACCGGGAAACTTTAACTCCTTCACCAACACCGCAGCCTCCGCGGCCGTGGACCTCAATGTGCCAGCCACATTCGGCAAACCGTTGTGGCCTTCACAAACGTTCCCAATGAGTGGCATCTATAAACGCTTATTTAATAAGCGTCCCGTGCCTTTGCACAGGGGCGGCTCAGCTGTTACAAATTCCGCGTTGCTCGTGGCGAGGCCCCAATCAATCCCAGCCTCGAACGGGCAACTGTGGAGAAAATTGGTTTGGAAATTTTGGCGCCCTCGGCAGTTTGTCACGCAGCCGTTGCGGCGGCCTCTTACATCCGCGAGCCTCCCTCACGGGAGCGCAGACCGCCCGGGTCACGTCTCAACGTCAAACCGCAGCGATGGGCTCTGAGATTAATCACACATCCGTCCATTGGGGTGATCTGGGTTCGGAGGCGGATGGCGAACGTGCGCAAGCACTCCCTCTTGGGCACGAGCTGGTGCGCTGCACGCACAGCTAGGAGGCGCGCAACTCCACAGAGGAACGGGGCTCGGTACCCTCAGGGTATTCTGGTAGGTGCCAGCGACCCGGCACCACGACGGATACATTCCTCTTGCCAATTCGCAGGCGTCGAATTCTCTCCTTTTTTTTCATTAATTCACCTGCGTGCTCGCAGGATTTGTAAACTGGAGCACCAAGCATTTATTTTTACAAGGGCCGCTTTTGTACCTTTTAATATCTGGATCGAGAAAAAAAACTTAACCAAATCCCGAGGAAGCTACACGAGCCGTGGTGAAGGCGTTAAAGAACGAGTGTATCACCCCCAGGTGAGGTTGGATGCAGGGCACGTAGAGGCAAGGACATACCGAACAGATTAAAGAGCCTTTGAGGCGTAACCGCCTAGAGAGAGGAGGAGGAGGAGGCGGTCGAGTCGGCAAGATAGAGCGGGCAGAGCGCAGCCACACGCAAGCCACAGTCGTGTCCACAGAATGGCAGGTGCGGGTAGGGGAAGGGATGGAGGGAGGGAGGGAGGGAGAGAGAGGGAGGGGAGGAGGGGGAGGGAAGGAACAAGGACATGATGATAAAAACATGAAGCGACGTAAAAAGGAAGAAGATATGGATGCAGGAAAGCAGCCTCGAGTAGAGGAGGGCAGGAGGAGAAGGGGCAGAAAGGAGAGGAAGCAATGGAGCAGCGCGGAGCCAGGGTGGAGAAGGGGGGTGGGGATAGCAAGCGGGAGGCAGGGAGTTGAGAGAAGAGAGAGAGAAGAGAGAGGGAGAGGCATGGAGCTCAAGGGGATGAGAGGAAGCACGAGGGGTGGGGGCAGAGGCATGGAAAGAAAGACCGCTGGAGGAGCGGAGGCAGTGAGGGGAAGAGAAAGATGAGGAGAGAGGGAAGCCATGACGGGGAGCAACAACGGGAACTTGGAGCAAGAAGGGAAGCGGCACGGTGCGTGACATGCAGGCTTTGGATGGAGGCAGGAGGGGAGGAGGGGAAGGGAGGAGGAGGAGGAGGGAGGGATTGAGGGAGCCATCCAAAAAACAGGAAAACAAAGATCAGCCGGGGTGAGGAGGAGGAGGAGGAGAGGAGAGGGCACCGACGACAGCGGCGTGGCTCGCGACCGCGGCGAGGAGCCGGCGAGGAGGGGGCAGGGAATGAGGACAACCGCTCCTAGATTAGCACAGAGATGCAGTTTTGAAGGTCGTAGACAGAAGAGGCGAGGCCGCTGTGGCTGGGCAGGGCAAGAAGAGAGAGAGAAAGAGCCAGAGAGAGCAGACAGAGAGACACAGAGAGAGAGAGAGCGCAAGAAGAGAAGATGCATCAGATCGGTAGAATGTGGTTAGATTTTGGCGCAGGCCAACAGATACAGCAGAAACCAGAAGTAAAATCATCAATCGGCAGGACGAGTGAAGGAAAGACCATGCACGTACAAACCTCGCGCGTCGTGGGTTTTGGCTTTGGTTGAAGTGTTCACCGAAATTAACTTGGGCGGCCGATTCGTTAAAGTAACAAGTTTTGTAAGAGTCAGACTGTGGTATAGCAAGGGCCAGACTAGCAATGTAATGGATACATTTGATTTAAGTTTAGCTTCATATCACATTAGGTATATTTTGCGTTTCTTTGAAAAACCAATGTTGTGAATTAAGCTAATGTCAAATGGAAGTAACTCAAATGTAATGTATTTTGTATTTTTTGACGTACATAAATCTTCCCTTTGGTAAGTCCGTAACGTTGCAATCGAAGTTTTTACGGAAAAATCCCGAGCGCTGGCTTTTTGTGTTTGCGGAAAATGTTGCACATTTGCCCTACGGCTTCGGGTGTTTCTAAGAATTTGTGGAAGCCAAACTGAGGGAAACAGAGATCAGAAAAGGCAAAGAGTAATGCAGAGAAAGACAAGGGCAGAATGGACATTGGAGGTTTCAGACGTGCGATAGGAGACAAAGTGAAGCCATGCCAATCTACAGCTCCACAGGTCAGCATGTGAGCATGGCCCTGTCAGCAAGTCAAAGGGGTTACGTGAAGGTGTAGAGAGCGAGCGAGTTTTAAAAACAGTAAATCGCAAGCTCCTTGACAGATTCAAATGGGCTGCATTAAAATGTACTCGCCCAATATCGATAAAAGAGGATTTTGGGCTTTGGAAAGAATTCCAAAGCAGCGCTGCCTTTTCACAGAAACACACACTCGCCTGAGATCACGGGAAAATACCCTTCTCTTCGCAGCCCAATTCATTTTGTTTAACGAGGTGAGAATTCAAGAGACCAGGATAAGTTTAACTTAATTGTCATGCATAATCCCAATTCAGCAATGTTAAGGCATTTGCGGATAATTTGTCAAATCTGGCCCCCGATGCCGGCACGCAATGGCCAAATCTTGCGAATGTCAAGGGGTCCTTGACGTCCACCGTGCGTGAAGCTGGCAGCGCGTAGCGTCACGGCAGCTGGCAGCGCGTAGCGTCACGGAAAGAAGAACCTCTGGGACAAGCGGCGACAGCGCTGCCGCTGTGCCGCTCGGCGAGGACAGATCAGCCAACTCGGAGTTGGGAGATCGCCCGTCGCACCACGGCGGGGCCTACACGCACTACACACCCTCGGTGGATGTTTTAAGAGAATGAACAAATGATTATATTGTGCTGGCACATGAACAACTTCCCACGCGTGGATACTAAAATGGTGGGGATAAAATCATCAAACGGTGCCGAAGGAATGTATTATGGCAAGTAATATTTTGCAATGGCTATAAAAGGTCTACTCCTGCGTGAAGTTATAAGTGGGCAATCATTAACATCTGAAGATATTTTATTGTCCGGTAAGATTTGACAAAGGTAAAAATGCCGTAACAACTGTAACGGCTGATCGACTAAATTCTCTATACATTTTAGATTACGGTTGACTCTATAATTCTGCTTACAAAGCAAATGCAGTTGATCTGCAAATATATTTGAATGACTTACTTAAAAGAAAATAAGGATTACATTGATATTAAATCAGCCGTTTTAACTCTACCTGTAATTTAAGCCAGTTTATATGGGTATTTTGTGCTTTTGAAGGATTCCATGTCCACTCATGGAAAACTGTTCTCATGTAAACTGAAAACGGCGTTGTTCAACGGGTTTTTCCCACAACCCATGGCTTCGAGACGAAGGCCCATCGCCCAAAACTTTGCCCAATTGGAGTGCATGTTTCTGTCACAAGGCGGCGTGATGAGCGCACGTGGCGAATGTTTCTGTTGGCGCTCACGCAGCACCACTGCCAATGCAATCCTCGCAATTTTCAAGTTCTAGAATTCATCGTTGTACAAAAAACTACTCCCGAGTTGTGCGGCACTGCTCCACGTGAACACGCTGACAAACTCGTGAGGTTAACTCGAAACACTCACTGCACCTTCAGCTTGTTATGGTGAACAAAAAGAGCCGCATTCAAACAAAATGCTGCCGGAGCTAGATTGGAGTGTTAATTAAAACAACGTAAGAATCATAATAACAACAACGCAAGAGCACAACATTCCTGTAAAATCAAAACCGCCTCCACATGCAGCACACACATACACACGGTGACTCATTAACAAGCAGCAAAGACACCCCCTTAGAATGTTCAGTGTCAAGCAAGTTGCTTTGATGGGGAAATTTAACAAGGACTTTGCCTGTAAAGTTTAACGGCAACACTGTCAGGATTGACAGCTCATATGTGCCTGTTCTTACATACGATAAAACAACTACTTGTAAAGAACCAATGACTTTACAACCACAAGAGTATCCTCCCCAGCAGATGAGAAGCTCGGCCAACTGCAAAAGAATATGTGCTGCCCTGGGACGAAATAAAATATGCCAAAGGACATCAAGGGAACACACCCTACAATACCTTGGAATCTGCCGTATATACACACACATATCCTAAATGTGCATAACCATTACAGTCCAAAACCAATGGAAGAAGGCATCCCTCCACGCATTGTTGGTCATGGACGTTTTTTGGACCATACTTCACCACGCTGGTCAGTGCGGGTTGGTGAAGGCTCGGGTGAGGAGGCCAGAACCGGTTCTGATGTCACTCGCCACCGATGTTAGCCGTGGCCGGGAATCGAACTCGAGTTGGCGGGTTCATGGCGCGGGGCGCGAACCAAGATGCACGTCTGCATGTCAGGATGCAATAGCCTCCATAGTTTGTGGTATTAGGATGGAAAGGTGGCTATGAACGGAACTCAAAACTTCCAGTTCACAATTCACGTGAAATGGAAGTTTTACTTTACTACCGTATAGTTCTAATAATAAGTTCAACTCGTAAGGTGCCGCTGGACTCGCTCGCTCTGGAACAGAACGACTCAGAGGCACTAGCAGGAGGAGCCAGACCAGGGGGAAGGTAGCAGCGGCTACACAGTGGTGGTGAGGTGGTGGTGAGGTGGTGGTGAGGTGAGGTGGTGGTGAGGTGGTGGTGAGGTGGTGGTGAGGTGGTGGTGAGATGGTGGTGAGATGGTGGTGAGGTGGTGAGATGGTGGTGAGGTGGTGGCGAGGTGGGGTGGTGGGGTGGTGGTGAGGTGGTGGTGAGGTGGTGGTGGTAAGGTGGTGGTGAGATGGTGGTGAGGTGGTGAGATGGTGGTGAGGTGGTGAGGTGGTGGTGAGGTGGTGGTGAGGTGAGGTGGTGGTGAGGTGGTGGTGAGGTGGTGGTGAGATGGTGGTGAGATGGTGGTGAGGTGGTGAGATGGTGGTGAGGTGGTGAGATGGTGGTGAGGTGGTGGCGAGGTGGGGTGGTGGGGTGGTGGTGAGGTGGTGGTGAGGTGGTGGTGGTAAGGTGGTGGTGAGATGGTGGTGAGGTGGTGAGATGGTGGTGAGGTGGTGAGGTGGTGGTGAGGTGGTGGTGAGGTGAGGTGGTGGTGAGGTGGTGGTGAGGTGGTGGTGAGGTGGTGGTGAGGTGGTGGTGAGATGGTGGTGAGGTGGTGAGATGGTGGTGAGGTGGTGGCGAGGTGGGGTGGTGGGGTGGTGGTGAGGTGGTGGTGGTAAGGTGGTGGTGAGATGGTGGTGAGGTGGTGAGATGGTGGTGAGGTGGTGAGGTGGTGAGGTGGTGGTGAGATGGTCACGAGGAGGAGCCGGCACCAAATCCCTCCCCATACTCTGCTGTCTGATATTGGCCAATTTGTGAGTGTTTTCACTCAGTGATGTGTCTGCAATGTTCCCTTGATCAGCCACATGTGTGTGTGTACTCGCAGATCTTGCAAGGTAGCAGGGGTTATTTCCATGATGTCTTAGGGCCTAAAACTATTTGACCGTACTAAGACTTGACACAAAAAAACTTTACTTCCGAGAGTGTTGCCATTAAGGCATAACATACGGGCTTCCTCAGTTCGGTGGTCACAGCCAAACCGCTGGGGCATAGGAACTCTGCCGCGAGTCGCTTTCTCCGTTCCACTACCGACCCCTAGGGGGGCAGAGCTGGCTGCCGGGAGGGAACAAACCCACGGGTGGGCAGAGTCTATCCAGGGGCCCCCACGCAACCGGAGCCCCGGGCGGGGAGGGGGGGGGGCCACGGCGCGGGCCCCGTCGTGGATACGCCACCGGGGGGGCGGCGCGAGAGAATCGGCGGGACCTCGGCATTGAGGTTGCTCGTCAGCAGCACTGGGGAGTTGACGGGGAGGCCCGGCATCCCGCCGCCACCGCCGCCGCCGCCGCCGCCGCCTCTGGATGGCGTGGGCGGGGGCAGGCCCAGGCGCGGCCCCATCATGCCCGGGAAGCCGAAGGAGGAGCCCATGCCACCAGGGAGGCCACCGGGCAGCCTCCCGCCAACGCCGCTCGGCAAGCCTGGGAGCACGCAGACACAACACGGGCACACACACGCCATCACGCGTCGTGTCATCGTACAAGGATCCCCCCCATGGCCAAATAGACTGTTGGGGCAAGCGCTGTTAGCGAGCGCCTATGAAGGCCGGAGCAGCATACGAGGGGATGGGCGGCCAGCACTACACCAATGGCGAAGTTTACGTAGCACACCAGGTTCTCAATTAAGGCGGAGTCAACCTAGGGGAGAGCCAGGACCGGTTCGGATAATCATCGCTGGTGGTGGACGTGAGCTGGAATTGAACTTGGGTCATCAGCTCCGCAGCGCAATGCGCTAACCGCGACACTACCGCGCCCCACATAAATGACAAAACTTGGATGCACCTGCAGGATGATTCTTTGCTGAAAGCACCACAAGTCGGACTGTGCGAGGAGGAGCCCTCTTATCTGCTGGCAGTCCGACAAACCAATCCCGCTAGCACTGGTGACGTACCTTGTGTGTGCATCACAACTTTGATGATTCACTGGCACGTGTCTGGTGTTACAGAGAAGCCCTGAAAAACGGGGCTTTTGTAATGAACTTTACATCTGAGAATTGCACGTAAGTGTGTGCATGGTCAGTGATTGAATATGTATCCAGGATGTGTGACTATAAGGCAAGGTGCTATGTGTTTTCATGCTGAAAGGTGCAGTAGAAATATCAATTAAAAAACTAAATCATTATCATAAGAGGGAGCCTTAATTACATGCCAAGGTATCTCAGAAAGGGTCGAGCAATTATTCAGTATCTGGAAAACTAATTTGCATTAAAAAATAAATGCACGACCAATTAAAATTCAATATAAACCGACTGATATATTAATGAAAATGTAATTTTGCCAAACAACACGGTATAAATGAGGGTAACGCTAATTAAAAACATCACTCATGATCAACATCCTTGACGATCGCCAGTCAGGTGTCTCATATCCACACCGTTGGGTTCTCTCTTATTTCTCAGATTTGAACATCTGCTGGAAACTTTCCAACGCCTTTAAATTTTCCCAGCGCACCGTAACGCCGCAATGCCGTGACTCCGTATGTTTAACTGTATGTACGTTGAACTTCTTTCGCACTCTACGTAGCCAACCGTGCTAATCGGAGGTGCCGTGACGCCGTGACGCGCGCCCCGACGCCAGAGAGCAGCCCGCCGCAAGCTGCTGCACGCGGCATCGTGGCCCCGGTTGGGAGCAGCAGTCCCTGCTGGACTCACAGAGACTCTAAATGGCACCGGGTTCTTTTGCGTTCAAACACGGAGCGCGCGCCCTTCCTTGACCCGCGCAGGCAACGCCTGCCGAGGCACGCTTGCAACACGCAAGTCAATCCGTGACCCGACGGGCTCTCTCGCGTTCCGGTTAGACCACAGCAAAATGTGGCAGCTAAACTCCCGTGTGTGGCGGGTCTGCTCCACGCGCTGACCGCCGAGTCTTCTTCTTCACCACCTCGAGTGAGCACGTTGAGAGAAACCTCGGACTTCATGCCGAAAAACGGCACGTGCTGCGCGCCCCAGAACGCGTCGGAGGGGAGTTAATTCTAAGGTAAAACTGCAGCTTCCCAGTCCAGATTGGATTCCGCTGTGAAGAAGGGCCATTGCCTGAAACGTTGCCAATCAGATATTGTTTTCCTTGTCGGCAGTGTCGTCGACCAACGATCACGGAAGACCTTATTATCCCGGGTTGACTTTCACCGCAGCGCAATGCCGCCGACTCTACTCGAGCCTCGCGAGGGCGTCTCCGCCAGCCGTGGCCTCGCATGTCCTCCGCCCGTGGTCAAGAGCCCGCGGCCCGCTCCGGGGGTTAACCTGGGGCTTGTTTTGATCGCCGCACGCTCGCCGCACGCTCGCCTCCTGCGCCCACGAACACGGAGCAAGCGGCGTCCCCGGGACGTGCGCGTTGGAAAGAGGCGGCGGAGACGCGACGCCAAACATAAATTCGCGTGGCCACGGAAATATGAGCTTAGTTATTACCGCTAATCGCTTAACCAGGACACGCTGCGGTGTTTACGACTAAATTACAAGCAGAGTTGGGACGGTGAAAACAACCCGGGCTGGCGGACAGCTGGGAGAAGCTTTGCTGGGGCTGGGGGCTTGGGGCAGTGTGATAAGGATCCCCCCACCCCCCACCCCACCCCCGCGCGGTGTTTGACGATCGAAATTGAGTGTGTGACCAGAATGCAATGATGGAGTAAGGGCAGAGGAAACGTTAATCCCTTGACGTGTCTCCCGTGGCAGGGAGGCGGCCTCCCCTGCGTGATCTGAGCACATTCTGCGTTTGCACGGCCCGGGGCTTGCGGGTGATGAGTAACGACGGGATCCGCAGCGTCGCCGTATAAATTCAAGGGGGGCCTCTGTTAAGCCGCCTTGGCTCGGCACCCCGCATTGCTGGCGCGGAGCAGGCTGACCATGGGTTTTGCACCGACACGATGATTAAAGCCGAACGCCTCTCCCCGCTAAGAGTAAAAAGGAAAATAAATAATTTGTGCGCCGTTTCCATGAAAACCATCGCCCTCCGTAAGTGCGCGTGCGTCATCCGCGAACGTGAACATTTTCTCAATGTGTCAGCGCACGCACAAACGCGCGGATGTATTGCATTTGTGAGGACGTTGCACGAGAACGGTTGCGGTGTAATGTGAACGATGTTCAGTTGATTAAACGTGCTCACCCAGTGCAGGCAAACGAGCAGAGAGGTCAGGGTGCACGCCTGGCCAAACCAAGGCGTGTTTCTATTTTTCAAAATGTGTGGTGGTGCAAAACGTTACTCAGGGTCCAGTGTAGATGTCATTCTTATTAAGCTTATATCTACAGGACCCTTTTGCGAGTAATAAGATAATTTAAAAAATGGTAAAGCCTTTTTTTCAAAAGGATAAAGTCTTCTTTTTTCTATCATGATTACTCTTGTTTACCAAGGAAGCCTTACTGAGTCTCATGACTCGTTCAGGAGTGTCCTGCCAAGTGTTCGCAGGAGGCGGCGATGCCTGCTATAAAAACACATTATATTTGAGTAATTGTTAGACTGTGAATTCCCATTTTCATGCCTTAATGGATGACAGGCCTCGCCACCTGGGAGGCTATTTTTTAACCACCCATTTCACAGCCGCATTACTTTTAATTTTTTACATGCCTCCAGCAACGCTGCATAAAAAATACACCATGTCCAAAATGTAGTTAAAAACCTAGCCGCAGGCTTCTTGCCAATTACGAGCAGAATTTACAAATGTCTCTGGACTCTGGGTGGGTGCTACCCACAGCCACAAGGGCAGTAACTAAAAGTCAAAGGTCAAAGCGATTTCCTGCTGAAATGAGCATTGAGGCATTGGTACTCATCTTCTGTTTACAGCCCTGAGCCAGCGGTGGAAATTCCCCATTCCTGTGGCAGAGATTCGTCTAAGTTCAAGACAAACACTACATTTATCGACCATGAAGGGATGATGGGCCAAGTCAACCCCCCAATCAGGATTTGAACCCGTAACCTTCTGATTGCGAGCAGCTCCCCATACCGCTGAGCCGCCTGGCTGGTGAGTTACTCATCACCGCTCTCGTTATTTCGCCTCCCATCGCAAGCCAATTAAATGACGACGATCACGATGGCAATTCAACTGAATAATCGATCCTTTTTTAACAGTTTGTGAAAGCAGCGGCCTCTAGTGGATGCAGGACTCTCATGAACTCGTTACACTCAACAAATAAAAGGGTGGCAAGGGAGCAGCCCTGCAATTGCCCGCTCGCACTACTGTTGGCAAAAGGGCCTGCAAAACAAAGCCATTCCAGAGGAAATTTGGTCTGCTATTCCACGCTGACAAGATGCCTTGAAAGAGCTGAGAGTAGCCACACTTTACCCCACCACGCACGACCTACCAGAGGCAGTTAGGGGGCGGGGGGGTTTAGAAGCCTGCGAGTTGTTTCAACTGCCGTACCGGGAGATTGGATAGAATCGGCGACCTCTGCATTGCAAGTCCAGTGCGCTAACCATTTACACCACGTAAGCATCATCCCATACAACGCATACTGACAGGGCAACGTTGATTCTTACACACATGGACATGAATCAATTAATCGGTGCAGCATCATACCCCTAATAGCGAATACACTGATCTAAAACTAAACGGCACAGGTAAGGGCCCACTGAGATATTTAGCTCTTTTTCAGAAGAGACCCGGCTACATATAATAGCTCAACAAAGTGGTGGAAATTCATAGCAGCCAAATACTCTCAACGCATGTTTCTAAATGTGGAGAGAACCCAGAGAAAAATCCACGTAACCACGGGAAGAGAGACGTATAAACTCCAAATATACAGCGCCTGCATACCAGGCGAGGTAGTTAACATCTGACGACCGTGCCCTGCAATCTGCCGGGGTGCAGGGCACGGCGTTCACTCTGCAGCCCCTGCAGGGAACAACTCTGTCGAGCAGCCTGGGTCCCTTTGTTACACACGGTTTAGAAGACTGATGCTGGTGAATGGGATGTCTCCGGGTAGAAGATTAAGGGCTTTACTGAAGCAGAACCGTCCTTGGCAAGCTAACAGGGATTGAATGAAACTGGAAAATGTTGTTGGAGAAAGCGTGACCTAGAGTTCACGTTGGCCTTCGACAGAACAAGCGGTAAACAGAAGGGCGAGTTTCCAAAGTGCATTAGTGAGATGCACATTCCTACAACGCCATTCACCCAATCTTGCTGCCCTCCACCTGCCCAACACCAGCACGCGCCTACCAGCGTGGTGAAGTATGGTCAAACAATCCCCGTGACTCGCACAGTGTGCGGGGGCCTTCATCCAGCAGTGAATGCACAGCGGTGTACGTGTATCTACACACTGATGTCAAGAACCGACAGGTTGTAATAATTACTTTGAATTACGTGGAGAGACAGCTGTTTGCTGAAAACATCGTCCGCTTATCTATTTTACACATTGTCCAGAATGCTTAATGCTCTTAGATCTTATTCACATCAACTTCAGTCTCTAAACCATGCAAAAAAAACATCTATTCTAAGATCTCCACTCCAGTGAATGACAACACTGAAGTAATTTGTGTGAAAACATCCAACCCGAACCTTGACCTGAACCACACTGAGCGAGCTCTACAGGGGGCGATCCCTCTCTGTGCCGAGCGTGACTCAACGGCTCATGGCCACGTCCCAGTGAACGAGTGAACGGCCACGCTTGCCACGCTTGCCACGCATATGGGACGGGGGAGCCGCTGTGTCCGCAGCAGCCAAACACAGCCACGATCACAATCGTGATTTGCGTTCGATAAGAGCCGCCCCTTCTACACACAGGGGAGCCTCAGAGCGCCTCACACGTGATAAGCGACGTGCATCCACGTCTCAGCTCAACCATTTGAAAGGGCACCCCGAGTGCCAGCCGTCTCTGTGCGGCAGAGTTGACTCAATACCTGACCTGGTAAGCAAACAGCAGTTCCAATTGAATGATTTGCAGTGTAATTGTTCGAATATGGCAAATGTGGACCATGAAACCAGCACAAAAAGGACTACTTATTTGGAATGACATCAGGGGATCTTAAGCATCCATTGTGAAGCAGACAGCACGTACATTTTACAGGAATTACCAAGGTAGCCCGCTGGATTTAAACCACGAACCTCTCAGCAACAACAAGTAGCTACGCCACTTGAGTATACAGGAGAGCGCCGACCTGCCGACACACGTTTTACGGACGCACGTTTTACCAACGCACGTTTCAGCCAACAACACGGGACGCCGTGAATCAACGCTCCTCTGCCTGCTATCAGTTCCTGATGAGAGCGGCTGGTGGTGCTGTTGCACAGCAACAGGGACAGCACTGCCACGTGGCAGCTCTGAGAATGTAGGCGCGCACACAGCGCAGAGTAAGGCTCAAAGCCCACGAGCTTTCAATGGCAGTACAATATTCAGATCCATTCGTCTATACCGATGCAGAAACATCTTGTATCCTAGTGCTGTTACTCTAGGTTGGCTTTGTCGAAAATGAAAAAACACAAAATGGTTGTAACCTTTTTTAACACCTTTAGTGAGTGGAGCTGCATCTGATGGGCTGGAGAATGTCACATGAACAAAACAGTTAAAACATATCCGAATATAAAACAACTAATTCATACACTGCGATTCCATGCCTGTATCGTACGCTCGAGAATCAACATTAATTGCCGATGCGACGCATCATGCCACCGGTACTAAACGCACACCGCTAACATTATTTCTGTACACTCACCACGCTAACATTAACTGTTTAGCAAAAACTCTCGCTCCCTGTGCTATTTCATTTGAATAGTTAGAACGTAACAATGCGTAAAACAGATGAAGTGCACGCACCAAATCGTGACGATGACGGTGAGGAATTGTCTCAACACAGAGGCGCTGTGACAGCGTGATTTTAGCGACAGCGTGATGGAGCCGTCTGCCGCACTCACCCGGAGAATGGGGGAAGTAGTTTTGAGAATGCCGCGGGTTTAAATCTGCATGAGAAAGAGATGTTAGTAATTAGTGCCGAGAGAATTTAGGCCCTTGCTCGACGCCACCTCAAACTCCGCGGAGACCCAAGGGTGGACGCCACGAGGGACAGCGGGCGCACGGGGAAGCGCGATGCCACAGCTGGCAACGTAAAGCAGGCTCGTGTGCACTGGACGTGAAACACAACGTAGGAGACGCATACATAACGAGGTTCATCCAGCGAGGTGGCGCGATGGACTCACAGTTGGAAGTCTGCGAGTCCAATTCCACGCCGGTTTTGACTCGGCCAATTAGTGATCCTGAAAAACGCAACACACTCATCACCGTCAACAACAACACGGCCTTAAACACAAAGGCAATGTTGTTGACGAGCGTGTTGAGTTTTTGCGTATGTTAAATGTGCGTGTGCACCGCTGCCAACGCAGCATCACCAAATCACGTATTAGTTATCCTGGGCCAGCGAAATGAGGACCAACTTTAGCAAGGTTATCGGTGGTTGTCGTATCGAAAGACTGGCCCCCATTATGGGAATGTGGAATTTCCAGCGCTGCCCAATTGCTTCAATGCAGATGTGTGCAACCCATACTAGTCTGAGCACGGAGAAACTTCACTTCACTTTGAGATAAACAAAGGAGAGAAAGCAATGCAACCCTATCTTTCTCAATCCAACTTACTAAAACAGTTATTTGTTTCAGGTGCAGATAAACAATTAGTTGACAAATGCATTGTTCTGCACTGTAACGAGTACAACACAGTGCAGACTATTTGTGGCATAAGTGTACAGTGTAAAAACACAACAGCTGTTGCATCATTAAAATCGCATTAAAAAATATAAACAAATAACAGGCCGGCATAAATCATTGTGCTCTGGTTGCCTTTGACACGCTCGCTTTGAAACTATGGGATTCGGAACAAATCATTGTTAAAGCATTCAAATCATTCACGAAGAGCAGCTAGTGAAATTGAAAAGTAGCGGTTATTTTTACCCATGGCCGGTGAGTGTTGAAAAAGGAAACATTGCAGCAGGGCTTGTGTTGACTTATAGCTTTCGTGACTGCAGGAATTCATATTCTTGGGTCTTTCAATAAAGTCAAGTAAATAGGTTCAAAGAAAATAACATGCTTTTTGTTATTTAAAAAAAAATTATTTGAACCTATCTACGTGACTTTACCGAAAGACCCAAGAATAAGGCTTGTGTCTCTTGGGACGTAACGGGGTATTATTAGGGCCAGAACTAGGTTACAGGGGTTCACTGCAGAAGTGAAGACGTGTCAACAGTCAACGGGTTTCCAACGTACCGTGCAATTATTACCAATGGAGTAGGTAAGGTGTGAATCCCCACTTACACTTACTGCGCCAACTGCCAACAAGCTAGGTAACAAAGCTCACTAAAAGATCAGAGTTAACGGGCTACGATCTGTTACAGCATCATAACGGGTGCCCAATGTAAAACCAGGTTAAGGTGCAGAGATGAGAGGATGATTGGAGTGAGAAATGAGTAACGCGAGTGTCTACCAGAGCTCATTAATGAATACTTTGGGTTTTTTAAGGGAAGGAATTATAGGAAGTGGAGAAGCCCAAATGATGAATATCTGAATGGGACCAAAACACGCAGATTTATTCACAATGATGGCAAATCGCCTGAAGAAGCTGGTTGTAATGACCAGCCAAATGTCGTACTGAAATTGTAAATGTTGTGGGTTTACTCTCCAACACACCAGTCTGCTAAAGTAGTAATTGGCGCGTTGTGTTTACGTGACAAACCTTACTAATTTGTTATGTCGGGTGGTGATGGGTTAACGACACATTTATATTTACTTGATCTAACCCATAAAACCTTTATTGTGAATGAACGTATGAGAATGACTTAGCTCTAACGGTCAGGGACATCTCTGTCCTCAAAAAATTTAACGCAGAAAGTGATCGCAAATTTCTGCGATGCAATCGGCATGGATATGGAGTTGCAACCTCATCTGACGGAAATGCATGCGGCACACAAAAGCAGGGGGAACCGACCTGCAGACTGGGACATGTTGGGGAAGCCTCCGTGAATGAGGGCTGGGTTACCTGCAGAGAAACAGAGTGGGGGACATTACCACCTGGAACTCTTTTCCTGCCAAGCTACACGCGTGCATGCAGGCAGAATCTTCCTTTCCACCTGGCTGAAATGTGGGTTTGGATTTGTGGGGAAATTGCGCCCTTCCATGTTCCGTCTCTGCATCAACCCACCCACTACTGTGAGCTCCATCGCACAGAAAGCGGCCGAATTGAACGCTGCTGTTCGCGTGGTGAAACCTCTTCCCTTGCACCGCAGGGAAGCTTGCCAAGGCTATTTTCTGCCAGAACGGCGGTTATTCCGTCGAGTGCGGCTCTGAGAAAGATAAAATGAGTGGTTCTTTAATGCCGGGACATACTTTTCATTCTTAATAAAATTGGAAGCAGTGGAGCCTTGTAGACTGGATGGTCAAAACTGATGGAAAATTTCTTCAAATTAAATGTTTAAATTACAAAACTATTAGAATCTTCAGCAGCAGCCAAGATCCATCTACTTCTGGATAAATGCCTTCTTAAGCCATCGCCATCCCTCGGTCTCGCAATGGACACAACAATCCATCGAAATCCAGCACATGAACCAATCTCGTGCCTTCATCTCCGCAGTGGTCGTCCTGCCGGGCACGCTCCTTCTTCTGGCTGCCAATCTGTCGTTAGTCATGACCATTGGCCATCATCCGTTCTCGCGACGTGTCCTGCCCAAGGCCACGCTTCTCAAGCAGCCAATACAAAGTGAAACCACACTAGTAGTTTAGCCGCACCGCACCTAAACCCTCGCCAGCACACCACGGCATCTCGGTGCTACACGGCGAGGGTCAATACTTAATGTGGAGCCTGCTCCTTCATCACGACACTTCACAGACCTGAAGCAGTGAGTGAATAACTCTTCCCTCTTAACCATTTTTCTATTATAGAAATGCACAATTGCTCGGACAATCCGAATGTAAACATTTTTGATAATTTCCTTCTGACTCACCTAGCCTTCATATTGCTCTTATTATTAATTTGTGTCAACGTGTACCACTGCAAAATGTTTTAACTGATAAAGTGCACAATTTGAGGTATTACTTAAAATTGTGATATGTTTCGTCTTCAGCAGTTGCACTGCGAAGGAAGAGGTCAGAGTAGTTTCATTGGATAAACAGCCACGGAAACATTAAAGGCTAAGAGTTCATACTTTGAAAATATAACTACTGTCATGTACACGTCCAGCCATTTGCAAATCCACTCCTGGGCCTCCCCACACTTCTGCAGGCAGCCGCAATGCTCATCGGATTACGGAAGCGAAGTGGAATTTGCACTTGGTCAGTGCTGTTGGATTGGGGAGCACCAGGGCTTGCCAGGCGTTGTTGGCGTGGAGCTGTGAGGTGCTCTCGCGTGAGTGGTGGACTTTCTCTCCAGGTTCTCCAGTTTCCTCCCACATTCAGACGAATATTTGTTTACAGAATTGGTTAAAATTGTGTTTGCACAAACCAACCTGGTGAGCATTTCCTAGCGAAATAATTGGAATTTATATTGCTATCTTGAGGTACCAGCGTAAAGGCCGTCGGGACCAATATTTCTCAGCATCATTGTTACCTCCGTGTTCAAACTCTGTCTGTAACATTTGCTCCAAAGGGCCCGAAAGGTTGAAAGACCAAAATGTTATTTTAAAAACAGACCTGAGTCAGAGAGAGTCCCTCCTCTCCACACAATTTGGCTCAGCTCATGAGCAAAATTGTTTTTTTCTTCTAGAGATTGCTTATCGAAACGAAACGTTCCATTACAATGCCACGCGGGTCATCGTGGACGTGCTGCACGGCTCTCCGACGTGTCCTTCAGGCCTTAGCGCGCGTCCAAACAACACGCGGCACGACTCAAACACGCATCGGGGAGCTAAATGTTACGTGAAGGATAATTCGCCAGATGCTGAGCAACGCCGATGATTGCTGTTCCCGTGAAGCGAACCAAGGAGATTACGCAGAATGGCAGCGTTGCACTCGCGCACGCCTGGAAAGGTACACGGCGAACTGCTGGAACAACCTTCTCTGCGCTGTGAAATCTCGCGAATGTTTTTAGGTTAAGCATCCATTGCGAAGTTTCTTTTTAACGATGTGATCACCCTGAACCTCGGCGGGGCTAATTATGGCGGCAACGCGGCTACTCGCCGCGTGGCAGCCGGTCGTTGGGGTTAACGCGCAGCAGATGGGAAACAAACGCGGCCCAGAAGAGCTCGCGAGATTGTGATTACGACGCAGGTGTGGCGGCGGTGCCTTTAATCCACTAACCTTGAGGTCGGGCCCGTACATTGCGTACATCACCAGAGGATCTAATTCTCATTATATTTATCAATCCCTCTGTTTAGTCGGCGTCAAACGTTTTGTTCAACAAAACAGAAATAAAATTGTCGCAATCACCGGTTGCAATTCAGTTTAAAAATCTGCACTTTTCTGTCTCATCTGTACCATCGTACTGAAATATCAATTTTTTTACACCTTGTTTGTGCCATTTCTGTTTGCTCAATTATCCTAACTGTAATGTTGTCACATCACTTACAAATGACCTTCGTACAAATTGAATAACTCACGAATCGTGACATACCTAGTTTATCGTGAGAACCACAGCCACATGGGACGGGGATACAGCCCAGTGGGAGCACGCTTGCCGCTCGATGCAGAGGTCTTCGAATCAAGCCGGTGGCAGCCCTGGTTAATACTGAGAGTGTATTGACCAAAAAAATACACGGTGTCTGCTTCACAGTGGACGGGACATATCCCGAAAAAGAGTTGGCCATGTGTGCCGGCATCATGGTCCAATAAAAAAAAAATTACTCCCATATTACTATTTTGCGAAACACATCGCGATCGTCCCCTCCTACATCAAACACATAGCAGGGTCCTCCTGAAAAACAATAGCCTTGCGACTCAGTGAGGCTTTCCTAGCTAAACAAGGGTGGTCATAACCTTAACGATAAAGAGGTGCCACAACGCAACAACGGACGCTGCGGGTGCGGACACATACCGAGCAGGGAGGTCTCCTTGCCTTGTGCGCGCATCGGGGGGAACGGGCCCTGGCCCTCGCCGGCCGGCAGGTCGGGCCGAGTGAGGTCGCGGCTCTTCTCGTTGTTGTACTTGACGTTGAGGTTGGTGAGGCGCGAGAAGCCCACGCGCAGCGTGCAGCAGCCATTGTAAATGTTCTGCCCGTCCAGCATCTGCTCGCCGCGAGGGTCCGACAGGGGGATTAAGTTGTTTTAGTAAAAAAGCACCTTTCCTTACCCATACTGCACGTGGTGGCATCTGGGTAAAAATTGCATAATAGCACCCGATGGATTATCCGCAACTGAGAAGGGTCCACAGCTGGGACACTGGATAATTAGTCCACCGGCAGGTGCTCCAAGAAGAGGGGCAGCCCTCAACTTGCAGGCCCTGTAGCCTCGCCAAGTCTCCACGGTGGTTGAGTAATTGCCAACTCTACCAAGTCGAGCAGCTGCAGTCAAGCATGTGTAGTCAAGCAGCTCGAGGCTGCCGGTCAAGGTAGTCACACGGCTCTGTTGGCTTGGCACTGTGAGGCTTGTGGGGAAGCCTGGGCCAAAACCCACTCACCAGTGCTCGGACTGGCCTGGCCATGTGCTTAGTGGCCTTGGTTTCTGCAATTACTTTACTGTATAATGAAAATTATTTCCAAGTTCGAACAGCCCTGGATTTAATGCAAATATAAGTCAAAATTAAAACTCTAAAAACCAATAAAAATAATATCAATGATGGAAATATGGTCAGACTTTAAAAACCAAAACTCTTCCCACAATCTAGATATTCCCACAAACCCGTCACGAGGTGAAGCCAAAAAAACCAACGCTTGAAAAGTGTACTTGCAAGTCACTCACTGCCACGATCTCAATGAATCTGCTGCAATTTTAAGTTTAAATTCCACTCAAGAAATTAAATTATTGGGTGCCCTTCCTAGTCCCAATGCGCTAACAGAGTTGTATTGCAATCAATTGTAAATGTCAAACCTGCTCTATGTGGGCGCCATCTCATCACAGAGTGGGTCTCTATCCTGGCTGCAGACCATCAGGCCGCTTCAGACAGAGCGCTCGGATCGCCATTTTGCCCCCAATTCCCTCTGTACGGGGATTAATCGGTGTGGTCTTGCATGGCAGGTGTAGACTTTCTTGATGGCAAACAGCATTATGTTGCCCAGCAGTGGCTCTGCGGTGCCTTTTTAAATGCGGGCCAGTGCTTCGTAACGATGCTCAACGCTGCTCGTTTTGACAAAATATTTTCCAATTTTAAGTAACATAGCAACCGCAGATATTATGCTGCCCACACTATCATCCTACGGTTAAGTTGTGTAGTTATTTTATATTGACTCAAAACGTTCCTCTGTAGGCACACTGGCAAGTAGATTTCTTTCAGAAAATTAATTTTTCACCACTTATATAAAATACAAAATAATTACCTGCAGGTGTCACCAATGCAACCAATTCAAAAATAGAACTTTTTCTCAGTCACATTATCAGCCAGACCTAAAACCAGAACTCTGCAGTCGTAACGTAGTGGAAGTGTTAGCTTCAAGGTCGTGCTACCAACCTAAAGCCGTCTTCCCTTGGTCAAACACAAGGAACTTCTTGTGAGACGATACTATTGGAGTGTTGAGGCAGGCAACATTCAGATCTATGCCGGCCAGCCGGCCCTTATGGACCCCAAGGTCTCTATTTTGAACTTTGCGGTGTTCACATGCACGTTTAGCCATTCCATGTCCATTACAATGCTGGAGCCCTCAGAGGACTTCAGGGTCAGGAAATACCACAAATAGAACCTCTCATAACCTTCCTGACACAACGGGCCTCTATGACCTCCAGGCTCGGAAGTCTGTTGTCATATTTTTGGTTCTTTCGGTAAAGTCACATAGAAAGGAAATAATAAAATAATATAAACATAAAACAATTACTTTATTATTTCCCTTCTACGTGACTTTACCGAAAGAACCAAGAATATGAATCCCTGCAGTCACGAAAGCTTTAAATCAAAATTTAAGTCTGTTGTCCTCTTCCAATAATGCCACCAGACTGGACGTATCCGTTTCCCAAGCCGCCACTACTCTGCCGGAGCAGTCCAGCCTACCCATGAACTCCTGCGTGTAACTCAGGCACTTTCACAAAAGGAAATGTCTCAATGGGTTCTTATTTCATTTAAAGAACACGTACCTGCACATGGTCAAGACTGGGATTATTTAATTGGTGTTGAGCATTAGTGATGCGACACTTAGGGGCCATCCATTTAGTACGTACGCAAAAATCTGTCAAAACTTGACCCCTCCCCTCCTCCCTGTACGCACGCATACTTTTTACATCCCCCCCCAACCAGCGTACGTACGCTTGACGCCCCCCCCCCCCCCCCCCGCATCCTATAGAACGGCCAATATTTAATCCACGCATAAACGATCAAGGATTAATAATATTAACGTGTTTAAGCAAACAGATAGGCCACCGCCGGCTGCATTATTATCGAGGCTTCACCCCCCCCCCCCATTTCCTATGCGTACACACATCGTCAGTAGACCCCCCATACGCAAGCTACGCATTTGGGTTAACCCCCCTCCCCCCTCCATGCATACGTACGCAATGGATGGCCCCTTCTTGGCAGCTTTACGATGGCTGGCGTTGTCGGCGTTTGTTTAAGGTGGCGCTCTACATAATATGGTGGTTCTGATGGAGATGATGCACAGCTGTGCCTCCCCCATTCCCGGATTGCCCAATTCCCAGCAATGGGAACGACTCCCATGTGATATCTCAAAGTGAAGCAGTAGGCAGGCGACAGGGCAATGTGATCTGCTCCCTTTCTCCACGAAACGATCCACACATCTGCACTTCACTGTCGTCTTCTCTAAATGTTTGCACCATAACCGTTTCATTACATGAAGCGCTAAATGCACTATAACCATTACCAACGCCATCACCTGCTCTCAAGTGAATGTCAAGCACACAGTGACTTCACTGGGAAGATTAACCTCCTTAATGCAGCACTAACTGCTTTGTCTTTAGGATCAGAATTTGCATTTATTTTGTACTTAAATGCCGATGCATCTCAAAGCCCCTTACAACACGATCTATAAAACACAAGAGGACTAAGGGCAGACAGAGAGAGCATGGGGTAAGCACAAAAAAAGATAAATTAATATGGGACAGCGCCCACGCACGCACACACAGAGGTTTTGTGAACGTGTGTACACGTAAGTCTCGCGTACGCAAGTAGAAACCTTGTGTGCGCATGAAGAGCTCCATCCTTAACTTTAAACTGCGCTCTCCAAGTCACAGAGGACGTGTCTAGCACACATCGGGCGCACATGCACCGCACGAAGACCCAACTCGTACTTTAACAGCGGCAAACTGGTGACAAGAGAAAGAAACGCCGTGGGGTGCCGCGCACAATGCGGCTCGGGCGACGCTGACGTAACGCGTGTGAACGCAGGCCGCCACCGCCGCAACCACGGCCACCACTACCACCACGGGCCGCACAGCTGTGCGGTGGACGGACCTTACACACAGCATCGCATGGATTTCAACACCCTCCAGGTGAGCCGTTCCCAACCTGTGGCACGTGAAGCCCTGCTGGTCCACCAGGCAGAGGGAAGTGTTTTGCACGCGATTCGTTTCCCAAAAACCCTAGCAGGTGGATAGCGGTTAGGGGGAACCACTGCCGTAATTGCATGTGGATCTCTAGATGATGCACGTGTGCATTTGTGAGGTGTGGACACGTAGTTAGCCACAGCTGCCATTTCACACGGCGCTGCTTTGTGTTTAGATTATTTGACATGTATTTGTTTCTCGTAATTACATTGCTTACGCTTATATTTGAATCGTTTTATAAGACCGAAACATTTCCGTTCAGAGATCTCCCGGTGAACACTCCATCCAGGATTTGCCTGAGAAACGTCACTGGAAGTTGACAGATAACTACTTTTAAAACAACTCTTGTAAACATCTTATCTGCACTAACACGACCTGGATAATGTTACAAAGTTACTCACCGTTTTAGCTTGATGTGCGTTACTGGCATCCGCAAACTGCATCAGGGCTTGATACTGGCTGTTTTTGTTGAAAATTATGATTTTCAGGACTGTGCCGTACTTAGAAAACACCTGCAATAAGACAACAACAGACAGATTCCACTTGTTCAATAAGTCATCAGTGACAAATTTACAATCTGGCTAAATCTCCGCCGAAGAAACATCCGCTATGATTTCTAGAAGTATAGCTTTGCACTAAGAGCTTTGAGAGTTGAGGATGTGGTTAGGTTTGTCGACTGCTCGAGCCAGCCGAGTGTGCGCTAGGACAGAGTTAGCGCGGAGCGGCCGCGGGTCACAGGCGAGGGGAGTGGGCGGCCGTGCGTACGCACATGGTGGAGGACCTCCAGGGTGATGGGGTAGAGCAGGTTCTCCACGATGATGTGCAGGATCGGGCTCTGGGGGGCAGCCGAGTTGGTCTCCTCGCTGTCCGAGCCGTTCGCCACCATCATGGCCGCCTGGGCCTTCTGCTCCCGGCACGCGTGTGCACATTAAGGTGAGTCGCGCAATCGGATCACAGGTGAAGGGTTGGTGTCAGTTTGAGACGTATGAATAACACATTTAAATGTTATTCAACGACTCGGCCCACAATGTCATCAACCTGGGATAGTGCTTGGATGGGTGACCAATACCATGCATAACGATTGCTTTTGTTGCGATCGAAACGTCGTGATATTTTTTATTTTTTTATTCACTTTCTTTTAATTTTTGTATTGTTCTTATTTTTTCTATCTACGTGACTTTACCGAAGGAACCATAGAATAGGTGTTATAGGCTACTGTGAGGCTATGTTGTAGCAGAAGGCAGTGGAGCTAGTTGTAATTACTGGCAAAATGTCGTACTCGGATTGTAAATGTTGTGACTTTGCTCTCCAACACACTGGTGTGCTGTACGAGTGACAAAGTGGCACGTTCTGTTTACGTGACAAACCTTACTAATTGGCGGTGTCAGGTGGTGACGGGTTTAACGACACATATATTTTTACGCGATCTAACCCGAAAAAACCCGTATTATGAAAAATCCATTGTTGTGCTGTACTATGCTCCAACGACGATGCAGGCCGTCTTCACCAACCACACTGACCAGTGCAAAGTACAGTCAATGTACCTCCATGACCCAGGTGGCTTGAAAAGGTCCTCATCCAGCAGTGGATTAACAAAGAACTGTACAATGAGGTTCCAATCACTGTCTAAGCATTATTGATACGGGCTGTACCACGTGTTGTTGGAATGATGGCCGACGCTTCACTCGATGTGACGGGAGCTTCTTCACGACGTGATGGAAGAGGTGGAAGTGCTCAGACTTGACCCCACCATAGGCAACCTGCCGATAGACTAACCGTGCCGCACCCGTTTACACCGCTGGGTGGACAGCGGCACGGGCGATTTAAGAAACTCGGCCATTGTTTCGACGGCTGTGCGGGGATATCGAATTTGACCTCCGTAAATCGGCAGGAATTTATGCACTTGTGAAATTTGTGTTTTTATACTGTATTCAGATTTATTTAGAGTGACTTGCTTACCTTTTCTCTATTTTGCACTCCTATTGTGTTTGTATTGTTTGTTGTTGAAACTTTCTGATCCACCCCCACTTTACATCTGTGAAAAAGAACTTCATAGATCATCGGATTCCTCCGGTCTAAATTAACATTCTGATTCCGTATTGCGGGCCCGGCGTGTTAGCAAGCGTCACACCGCGTCAGCACCGCTCCCCGCACAGTGACGCGATCGCTCACCGCCTGGTATGCGGAGTTGTCGGTCTTGAGGGACTTGTAGGTGGAGTACTGCACGTAGACGGGCTGGTTGCGCAGCACGGGCGGGTCCGTGCTGTAGAACGTCACGGCCGCCACGGCCGCCTCCTCCGAGGCCATCTCCAGGAACGCCTGAACGCGCCGCAGCGAGAGAGGCCCACGCGCTGTCACGAGTCTGCGCTTTGTGAAACGCGCCAAACGTCTGCCCTCGACTTCGGTACAACGCAGTGAGCTTAGTGGCAAGAGACACGCCACCAGAAGCGCTGGAATGATTTTTTTGTTATTATAGGTCTGCCTTGTAATGCCAGTAAAAAAAATTCACTGTCATAATAATCTAAGGTAGACGATGAGTAATCTTTGTCATTAAGCAAAAATCTGTAAACATACTTCCAATTGACACTTGAGCACAGAGAGCTGCTTCTCATTGCAATGAGAGGATTGGGAAATAGTTTTTCGCCAAATATGAAATGTAAACTATGGTGTGTGTGGCTGGAATGGCACTAAGTTGACATTGGCTGGATAACCACACTGCCTTAAAAATGAGCTTCTCAAACTCCACTTACAAATACAGAAAGCCTCTACTCGCTGAGTGCAAGGATAAACATGCAAACTAACATTTAAATCACACACCATGGCCATTGCCATTGTAACAATACATTAATTATAAACAAATTATCATGCTCACAATAAAAGCACCGAATCACACACGTAAGCAGCAACTGGTTTCAATTTGTGTATGTAGTGCATGTTCTTGTGTACAACGACAATTCATCAAACTGCGAGGGGGAGCGAATCGTTTGCAGTCCTCGCGGTGGGGGCCTCCGAGCAAGGCGGCCGTGGGTGGGGGTGTTATGGAGGAGCGCTCGCCTGGCTCTTGCCCTTCAGCATGAGGATGTTGGTGACTCGGCCGAAAGGGAGCGCCAGCGTCACCACCTCGGCCTCCGTGGCGTTCTCCGGCAGCTTGCGGATGTGCAGCACCTTGGAGGGCAGCTCGTCGCTCGAGTCCCCTTTGAACTTCTTGCTCTCGCTGCCCTCGGCTGCAGGGCCACGGCAGCACAGGGGCCAACGGAAGCGGAGACACACGCTCGAGGAGGGCAGCAGTGGTAATTCAGTCTTCACGACAACAACCAGTCGAATTCGCCTATAGATTTCATTTAGCCATTCTCTTAGTTTGGTCAATAAAGTATTCGAAAAAATAAGTCTACTCTTCGTTATTATTCACACTTTTGATGACATAGTTTGTATGTTTTAGTGCAGCAATATTTAGAATCGTACTGTAGTATGCTCTGTCTACGCTCCCTACCTTCACCACCCGCAATGACTAGCGCGCGTATGTCAAACGATACCCACGACCTGTACGGCGCGGTGTGGTCCTCATCCAGCAGTGGATTGACACATGAACAATGGGCCCTGAGATGTATCAAGGCCAGCCTCCCTATCGCATCGTAACACAGAGACGGCTGATTGTCCCAGGTGCAAAAAAGAGACCACACAAACTGAATCGATCAAATTTAGGCACATTGACCCTTACCAGTGGAGCCATTCTTAGGAGCACTAGCAGAGTAGAGATTATCCGGTCCCCTCTGAAACAAACACAAGTCATTAAAAAAATCCCATTGAAGGCAATCTATTATCGTATAACATCGCAATAAACAGCATATTACATTACCCATTGTAAACGAATTGAACCATCATCCTTGGTAGAGGCAGCAGCAAATATAGATGACACAATTCCCAAATGAGAGGAGCTCCTACTCAAGTCCACACATCATCATCCGCAAATCTGCAATCAACTGGAAGTAATTTGGGCAATCTATGACCCTATTGTACAAGATCATGGATGTTGCTTGCTCGGCTACTCTGTGAAACATGTGGTTAGGAAGCCCACAATCCTTTGTGGGTTTTAACATTCACACCTGACTGGGCTCTGCATCACCTCTTTGGAATTCTGATACTGCTGTTAAAATTCCAACCCCCTTGCCGACTTCCCAATTACGGTGAATATGCACACAGATTGCATTCTCTTGACTGTGTCCTCACACAATCTCTCTCCCACCTCTTTCCCTCTTCCCTACATCACTTGCGTGATATATTCACACCAGAAATAGGATGAATGAATTTACAGCTTTGCAATTCCAAACATTATTCTGAGCCATCTTGTATGTATATGTCTCCCAATTTAAAATATATTTCAAACCACTATTACCTGCACTAGATCTCAAATACTTAGTTTCGGGGCCAATAAGTGGTTCAATATTCAGACTTCTCATTGTGTAAACACAACAATCTCGGGATTTCCCATGTGCCAGGTCAGTAATGCATGATTTTGTCGAGTTCCCTGAGGCAATGAGACATCTATTTTATTTATCGGTCATGAAAGTGGTGCGGTGTTCGGCTAGATTCACTCCCATGGCTATTTAACTTTATATTCTCCCCCCATCATTGCCTTCCGTTTCAAAGAAATGTCTTACAATTCTCCAGCTCAGAATTGATTCCATGGAAGTTTCTGGCCCATAAATGTCAACAAGAGTACAAAACAGATAAACGAGAAACAGCACTTTGAATTCACGGATCAACTTAACACGTGTTCTCGGAGGCCATTGGAAGGCTCATGGATCTCTTCGCAAGATACACCAGACTGGAGGATTAATTGTAACTACAATGGCAGGCGCTGCATTATAATTGTGAAAGAATAAGAGCAGGATTTGGAAGCTGAAATTTGGTGAGGAAAAGCATTTATCAACGTGTCTAAAGAAGACGGTGTTCAGCCACTGCATGTTTCCTGCCATGACACGGTGGACAAATGACCGACAAAGAATTGGGAACAAATGCAAAAGTGTGTGTAGAGATGCGTGGAGAGACACGTGCTGCAGTGTCGCCACGAGATCAGCTCCTAGGAGGAAGACCTGAAGCTGGATGGTGGGATACATAAAAGAGCAGAGCTCGAAGGCTGGGTGCCCACTTTACAACTATGGCATCGAGCAGAAGGAAGTGGTCGCCAAGGTGCGATGGCACGGGCAGCAGCAAGGTCAGAACTACAGCTGGCGGAAGTCACGGCGTGGAGCTCGCGCATCAGACGTCAACCGTGCAGCGAATACAGACGTGTACTTGTCCTGTATCATCTAGAAAAACGATACCATGGCAGGCTGTGGTGAAATCTACACCAATGACCATTATGACCTTTTGCGCTTGTTGTTTTAATACGTTACAATGTGGGTTACACACACTCCGTGACTTTTACAAATCAAGAGCTCTGGTGTAGAAATTACTTACCTTTGAACCAGCAGGTGATCCCATATCTGATCGACTATTGCTAAGACACACACATGGCACAAAAAAAAATCAGAAAACTACAATTAATGGCCTGCATAGGCATCAGTACAAACATAATCACGCACCACTAGTATCACTAACACTGCATAACAACAGATGGTATCTATACAGAACTGTAAGAGGCTGACGTTAATGTTAATAGCCCCGGTTCTGAAAGAGGATAACTGCCCGAAACATTAGCCTCCTGAACATTGGCGAAACAATTCGCATGCCTCACTATTTAATGACTTGCAACGCTTGAGCTGTCAGCTTGACTGACGAATCAATACTTGTTTTCCAAAGTAGTGGATGTAGCGGCCTCTCGTGGCTGACAATGGGTCACGTCAACCCATTACATCAACTCGTGCACGCGATTCATGCAAGTATCGTGAACACACAGATCGAATATTAGTCGATGCTCCTATAACTATTGAAACACTAGTCCGGAGATTTGTAGGAGAGATCTGCTAATCACGAAAGATATTTGTCACCATTCCCTGAGAGGCGAGAGACGAGATCGGTGGCAGCTCACGCCAACAATGGGTGTAGTAGGGCGGGCCTCATCACTGCTCTGGCGCTCCTGAGCCTGCGGTGGACATTCCACATTCCTATGGACGGCAGGGAAGTAAATCTCTCTCTCGCTCTCTTTGGGACAAACACTTGTACCGTTTTGTTCGCTCCATTAACCCGAAATAATATCAGCACATCTCCACGCATGCCCACATAAGTGGTGCCTCGCCCACAGCCCGTACCACACGTGCAGTGTCTCACACACAGCCCGTACCACAGTCTCACACACAGCCCGTACCACACGTGTGGTGTCTCACACACAGCCCGTACCACACGTGTGTGGTGTCTCACACACAGCCCGTGTCACAGTCCCACACACAGCCCTCCCCCTCCTCACCCGTCCATGTCCATGGCGGCGGCGCGGGGCCTCACGGCAGCAGCAGCGACGGCGGCAAATGGCGGCCGACCAAAGACGCCGTCGATTCGGGGCACGCGGAGAGGCGGCGCCGATTCCTGCGCGCTGGCGGCAGCCTCCAGGCCGCCTCAGCGCGGCTCAGCGCGGCCTCGTTCGTCGCCTCGTTCGTCGGCTTGCCGAGCTCGGCGACGAAGAGCCGCAGGAGAGCGAAGAGAGAGAGACCCGCGCTGTCAGCAAGCGCCGCGCGGCTGTGCGAGCTCCGAGCCCGCGCCGTGAAATCGATTCGCGGATCTGTCGTCGTGATGATGAGTTGAGGGGGGGGGCAGACACGCGGGACCCCCCTCCCCTCGTTACCCCGTTACCCCCCTCCCCTCATCCCCCCGTTACCCCCCTCCCCTCCTCCCCCCGTTACCCCCCTCCCCTCCTCCCCCCGTTACCCCCCTCCCCTCATCCCCCCGTTACCCCCTCCCCTCATCCCCCCGTTACCCCCTCCCCCCGTTACCCCCTCCCCTCGTTACCCCCCTCCCCTCCCCCCGTTACCCTCACCTCCCCCCCCCGTTAACCCCTCCCCTCGTTACCCCCCTCCCCCAGTTACCCCCTCCCCTCGTTACCCCCCTCCCCTCCCCCCATTACCTCCTCCCCTCGTTACCCCCCTCCCCACCCCCCTCCCCCAGTTACCCCCTCCCCCCATTACCCCCTCCCCTCGTTACCCCCCTCCCCTCCCCCCATTACCCCCTCCCCTCGTTACCCCCCCTCCCCACCCCCCTCCCCCCGTTACCCCCCTCCCCACCCCCCGTTACCCCCCTCCCCACCCCCCGTTACCCCCCTCCCCACCCCCCGTGTGGGGGGGGGGGGTCACACGGCGCGACACGTGTGGGGGGGGGGTCACACGGCGCGAGACGTCACACGGCGCGAGACGTGTGTGGGGGGGGGGGTTACACGGCGCGAGACGTGTGTGGGGGGGGGTCACACGGCGCGAGACGTGTGTGGGGGGGGGTCACACGGCGCGAGACGTCACACGGCGCGAGACGTGTGTGGGGGGGGGGTTACACGGCGCGAGACGTGTGTGGGGGGGGTCACACGGCGCGAGACGTGTGTGGGGGGGGGTCACACGGCGCGACACGTGTGGGGGGGGGGTCACACGGCGCGACATGCGTGTGGGGGGGGGGGTCACACGGCGCGACACGTGTGGGGGGGGGGTCACACGGCGCGACATGCGTGTGGGGGAGGGGGGGCGAGTCGCCGAGTGTGTAGCGGCTGGGAGGGCGCGAGTCGGGCAGTGGTCGTGGCCTCTCCTCGGCAGATTTGTCGTGAAACTTCGCTTCCTCCTCCCGGTGTCTCTCCATAAAGAATCCGGACATTTTTAGAATCAGAATCGTTATTTAGACTGGAAGAATCCGATGCACTATGAAGCTCTGTTTTTTTCCACAGATGTCCAGTAGTTTCACAAGTATCCTGTAGCTGATTGGTGTCTACTTTGCGGTTGTCATTCCTCCTGCGGAGGGAGCTGGTAGGAACGTTGGGTTGCACGGTCAATGGCCTGCAGGGTCAACGGCGGCGTGGTGTATTCCGCAAATATGCCCGATTGTGAGGGCGGGCACAAGCCGGCGTGAGTAGGTTAAGCGTTGAGTTTTATAAGGGCACCACGGGGTGACCAGCCCCTCCCCACCCAGCCCCACCCCCCACCCAGCCCCACCCAGCCCCACCCTCCCCACCCAGCCCCTCCCCACCAAGCCCCTCTCCACCCAGCCCCACCCCTCCCATTTTTGGATTCACAACGGACGGACGGACACAATAATCCCCTGTGGGCTGGTGTCACCAGGAGGTTCCTACCAGTGCCACTCGATCCTGCATTCGTCCACCTCTTTCGTTCATCAATTTTATCTCGATCCGCCCTTAATACTGCCCCTGCACACATCACCTGCTTTGTGTTGCGTAACAAACCACGGCATACTTATTTAAAGCCCGACTTTCCAGCTTTCTCTATTCAGTTCTTCAATAAGTCCCTGTGAGGCAGTTTACCATTTACTAGTTAACAACAACTGCAAACCTTAGACATTCTTCATTCCATCTATTCCCACACAAAAGTAACGCAATGACGTGTGACGCCGTCGCGTACGACTATGACGTCACCGCGCACGGTTGCGTCTGCACGCTTGGCCCGCCAACGTCATCACGTACCGAGGGAGCGGCATTGCCCGCGCGGTGACGTCATGCAGACGCCCCGGCGTGACGGCGACAGCGGCGCGTGCCTTGGCGGAAGTTAATGTCGTGACGTCATCACGCACCGTACAGCCGAATGCAAGCGCTGACAGTGACGTCATCACGTACCGCGCCTCCTCGTGTCGGTGCTGCTGCGGTGACGTCACCACGCACGGCGGCGCGTCCTCCAGTGCGTGCCCCTGAGCCGCACGTGTGCACAGTGCGCGGCGCTCGTCGAGACGCGGGGACAGCAGCAGCAGGAGCCGCCGCAGCAGCAGCCGCAGCAGCAGCAGGAGCCGCAGCAGCAGCAGGGAGACGCCGCCGCCTGCAGCGCGCGGAGTTTGCCGCACGAGGAGCGCCGAGCTCGCTCAGCCGCTCGTTCGTAGCCCCCTCAGCGCGGTGACTCACAGCGCCCCCCCTCGCCCTTTGACCCACATAGGGGAGTGAGTCCGCGACCCCTGGGGAGAGGCAGTGTGTGCGTGTGTCTCCTGAAGCTCAGAGTCCCATAACTGCTGCACTCACAAGTCTCCGTAGTCCTTACTCCCTCCACTCCTGCGCAATGCTGCCCAACACAAGGTGAGTGCGGTGACCTCTCGTCCATGGCTGTGTATGCGTGCGGACCATTGCGTCTCCTCCTCCTCCTGTCTCCTCCTGACCGCCATCAGCTGTTGTGCTAGTCCGGTCTGTGTGTGTCTTTCTAACACCATCGGCCGTGTTGATCATCTGCTGACAGTCGTGCGGTGGCTGCCTCGCACGCTGACGGCGGCCAGCTCTGTCCTGTCAGTCGGTAGTTGCCGCTCTGTGTCCCGTCAGCTGTGCGCCGATGGGCCGTGCACTCCCGTGTTGTCCTCCACGTGTCGCAAACTTCAACCTCTAACAAGCAAGTTGGTGATGCTGTTGCATTGCCAGTGACACACAGCCAACAGCCACTCGACACATTCGTCAGTGAGAGTGCCTTAAAAGAGTAAAATAGAATATGCGACGTATTGGGCAGCGGCACTTTTGATGGTATAAAGAGAGGCGATAGAGTTGCATAAGAGTTGGTGATTGCACTTTACACAATGGGGCCTCATTCGAAAATCTTTGTGTTCTGAAACCAGTTTTTCAATAGGCGTATGTACCCCCCATAAATAAAACAAATATGCATTGCTAAATAAACTTATTCCAAGTCAAGTTATAAGGGGCCGTCCATAAATGACGTCACGCACCTAGGGGGGGGGGAGTTAGACGATGTGTGATGGGGGGGGGAGAAATGTGACGTCACATCAAAATGCGCAACTTTAAATAAATATAGACAACACGTTCTGCTTAATTAAATATACTTTTAATAAATGTTTTCTCCTACATCAGAGTGCAGCGCCACATTAAATACGCACTACAATGACAATAGTTTAAAGCGATTTGAAGCATGTTTTATTTGAGGGGGGGGGGGGGTCAAAATCGTCCAAAATCGCATGACGTCATTTATGGACGGCCCCGAAGATGTTGCTGACACATTGCATTGTGGGAATATGTATTCTTGTGAGTTTCAGGGTCAAGCCACTTGGCGATGCTTTCCTGCGCCCATTCACCATCCAATAGCAGGGAGTGTGTCTCTAGCCCCGTGTGTTTGATTTCTTTAATGATGTCCAGTATTTATTATTTCTACTTTGTGTTGATTTATCTTGTTTTGGGACATATTTGTTAGATACTGTGTAGAACTAAAACGGACCGTGGGACAATTTTGAAATGCTGTTAATAGGGCTGTCACGATGCCTCAATTCATTGATTGATTTCCATTCTCTAAGCTCAAAATGCATGCATAGAATCGTAGAATATAACTATTATAAGTGATGATGTGGGTGAAAGGTCTGTGAGTAAAGAAATGCGTGTACTAGACTGGCAATGTGAACACTTTTATCAGTCAGGCCCCGTGTTATCCATGTTGTTGTGTCACACTTGATTTTTATGGCTCAATGTGGAACATTCCTGAAGAAAATATAAATATTTTTAAATATTAAAATAAATATTGCCAATTCCACCCACGCCAAGGCCATGTGGTAAAACCTGCTGTGGTGAGCGATGTTGCCCTGAAGATGCGATCAGGATCACTCTTGCAGATTAGGCTATCCTGGTCTCTTAAAGTCTCACCTGGGCAAACAAAATTAAATGTATCTTAATACCTGCAAGTAGTGCTGGGCTAGTATACGGTTGTTAATTTAGTTTTTTTTGCATTTTCAGTTATCACACGCGATAAACATGATCTGTTTGCCGCATGTAGCAATGTTTAAAAATAAGGATTAGATGTTGCTGACACATTGTGTGTGTGTGTGTTGGTGATGGAGCAGTTGTGGAGAGAGTGGAGAGTTTCCCATACCTGGGAAGTATGCTTATGACCAGCTCCGGTTTGACAGTAAGAGGTCTCACTCCGAATCAGTCTGGGCAGCCTTATCTTTTCATCGGCTGCGCAAAACTGTGTGGAAGCTACCAGGTCTGTCGCTCCACACGAAGCTTCGGGTCACCTCGGCCAGAGTCATGCCCTCCCTTTTCTATGCTTGTGAAACGTGGACCCCACTAATAGAACATCTGCACCGGTAAGAAACATTCAGGCTGGCATGCTTACAATCCATCCTGGGTTTAACCAGGCTGGATTGTGTGAGGAGCTCACAAATCCATTAAAGGTCTGGACACATTCCCATCAGTGAGCTCCTCCGGCAGGCAAGGCTGCATTGGCTGGGTCATGTAGCCCATATGCCCAGCCACCGCATGCCCAAGCATCTTCTGTTTGACTGCATAGAGGGCGCTAAATGGGCATGATATGAGCTGGAGAAGAGACGGACTGATGCGGTATGAGAGGATGGGGAGCTGAGTGGACTTGCTGACGACTGGTAACAGTGGTATCAAGATTGGCCTCTATGGAGGAGACTGGTGAAGGACGCTGCTACTGGGCAGTTGGAGGCAGTCGCCCTCTAGCAACAACGGAGGGCAGAGGAGCGACGCTCACAACAACGAGCGGAGCGCTGGGCGGCAAAAATACAACAAGTTGGCACAGTAGGGTTTACAGCTGGTGCATCTACCAGTCATCTCAGGCAGCCAACCCATGGCACCTGGGTCTGTCCCGAGACCTGTCAGCGAGCCTTCGACACTTCACGTGGCCTCAAAGTGCACCTGGCCTGGCACAGGCGCCGAGGTGTCGT